GTTTCCTCTCGCTTGCTTGCACTTCGGTCTTCTCACAAAATCAACACTATAAATTGATAAACTACATTGTCCATTTATTTACTTAATTATGAAATCCTCTTAGTGGCATTAAAATTTTCTCCTTGTTATCATCCAGATTGCACCTAACTGACCTCTGGTCTGGTAAAGTGATAGCTGCTGGTATCCAGAAACCCAACTGCCCTGAACCAAACGTTTTCATTCAAAGCACGGTACATTCAAACCACAAACAACTGCCAACTAACTTGAACTAAGTAGCCGAGTGGCTAGACCCCCATCCACTCAACACTGCCAAACACCTGTAACTGTACCGAAAGAACGAATCCCTCACCAAGAGATCAACCGGTTAATACTAGCTCGTGGAAAAGATATTGGAGATTGGATACATTGGAAGCTGCACATTATTGAGTGTGTTCGCTACTAATGTGCGTGTGTCATAAGTTATTGGTTATATTGCCATTTTCATAATGAGTATTTAATATATATGCTGAATTACTTCACCGAAATTTGTGTTTAGTGTAATAGGTATAAGTTTGGTAGCCGAACCGAAAGAACAATAATCGAGCGCTGAGAAATCAATTGGTTTATACCAGTTTTTGAAAAAGACATTGGATATATTGGTAATTTGAGGTGACCTGGTCGATATCTCACCATAACAGATAAAATTCACTTTCCATCAGCTGACTGGAATATTTAAGCATTCCCTATTAGAAAAACTTCGTCTTCCGTCACTGATAGACAACCAAAAATAATCAATCTAACAATCATAATCGTATCGAGGTAAAACCGTTATGCTGTAGGTATAAATTCCTCAACTAAATGTTTCTTCTAAGTTTATTCAACTGCAACATAACACATTCATTGATTTTTGAGCACAGGTTTTCGCAAAAGTCACTGCACTCACCCTGTGTTGTTTTTTGGGAAATCAAATTTATTGTTGCGATTTTAAATATTTCACGTTCTTTTCTCGTGTAGTATATATTCACTGAATTTGTCATTGTTACTCTCCTCTCTCGAAACTTCTGTCTTGCGTGTTTTCCTCTTCAAATTTTCTCAGCCTACTTTTCGGTCTATCGAGTAACATACCCAGTGATAACATTGACTCCATCCGTAGTTGCTACTTCGGCGTAGTGGTTGGAATTGCCAATAAAGATGAGTCAACCAAGCTGTTTTGGCTCCAATATATACGTTCATTTGGGTCCGAATATCCTAAAAGTGTCGAATTGAAAACAGTAAAACCGAAAGCAGCAACTGAGGACGAGTTTATACTGCAAACCGTATGATAGTGTGACAGCAGTAAGGTGTTTCCCTTGGACGACCAGCATTCATGACGCTGCTGCCTGCTCAAATTAGGAGGAATGGCTTGAAAGATGTCGACCCTAAGAATGTCATGCTCCGATTTACACCATATATTCCCGTCTCCTGCGGTAAGGCCATTCAAAGCATGGAGATAACATTTTAAAAACTTCTCATAAACGGTCGTGCATACCCAGCCTAAGACAGTTGCTTCTTAGACTCTGCGGCTGCGTTCCCGGGTCTTAGACCAACGCCAACCTGATTTCCTTTTCTGGTTCCCCAAGAAATACCTTTACACTGTTTGGGTATCCGTGAATTTACACCTGACCTCATTCGTAGTAGTACACGAGACCAAATTGGTCAAAAGAGAATCCTCCCTACACCTTGTAATAACTCTCTCACCCCCATGACTGACTGTTTTCACATTCCTTTGTCACCTCCCGCTGCTGATGTTAACAGTTTGAGTACACTAATCGTAGTTCCTGAACTCCTGAAACCCCGCTCTAAACTTCCCTGAGAAATGGACTGAGCCATGTAGGTAGGTGTAGATTACGTTAGTTAGGATCTACAAGATCATTGTAATTGATGAGATCGTGAACGGCTTGGCTCAAAATCGTTTGCAGTGATGCAGATGCATCCATTCATTGTCTTTTCTTTAATTCTAGTCTTCTAAATTACTCATCACCTTTATCTTTCCCTCTTTTTCAAAAATCTATTTCACTGGGATATACTTCTCGAATGATATTTCCGATCACTAGTCCCTTTGATTACCTCTAATACTTCTGTTACCTCTACCACTATGGGATTCGAATTGGCATTTCCTTCTCTGTGTGCTAGTGTGGTATAGCAACTCGACCTGATGCATGTACGACGTTCTACGTTGTACCTGACTAACTTACTGCTTTTAACGTTTGGATCTTGTGCCGAATAGGACAACAGGATTCCTTAGTTAGGACTTTAGAATCTCGCGTCATCGATGTATGCTGCGTCTGTGAAACGCACATATAGAATCCTAGTGAAATCATCAATTTGGCCTCACTTTGTCAAAATAAAGAACCGTCTCGATTTACGCTTCGTGTATCTGGAAGCCGCATTTCTGCTTCGCCTGGCGTCTCTGGCGTAGGTATGGCAATGGGTTCTAGAGAAGAATAAGCTCCCTTAGAATTTATCCGAGTGGACAGTCGCGTATGCTCCTTCTGACTAGACGGAACAGTAGGGGCTCGGAAAGACAGGGATGCTCGCCGTTGCCTATTCGTTGTTTAAGACATTGATTGTCTTCTCTTATGACCTCGTTAGCTCAGAACTCTCGTTTCTCTCTTTTCAAATTTATTTCAATGGATTATACTTCTTGAATGATTTGTTCCAATCCTAATCTTTTCGATTACCGCTAGTACTTTTAACACCTGTAATACTATGGATTAGAAACGACAATCCAATCTCTGTGCTAACTTTGTATGTTAGCTTGCATTGATGTACATGCGTACGCAGTTCTACGTTGTAGCTGACTGACTGAATGTAATTTGTACGTCGTAACAAACGAAATTCCCTAATTTTATTTCATGTTCCATTTTCGAAGGATAGCTTATTAGACACTAGGCCAGTCTTCGATAAAGAACACTGGGACAGGTACTGCATTAAGCTTGAAATGGGTAGTACTCTAGCCAATCTGTATGAGGAGCAATGCATAGTAAATATACCCCCCCCCCACTCAAGGCAAAACTAGATTCGGCAAGCGTTGCAGAAGTCTTAGATTTCAGGGACCATCGACTAAACAGTCCTAAATCAAACTCAGACACGTTAAACCGTGGTCTTTGAAAGATGACACCAGATGATCAGTAAGCACCCAAGAATCAATCAGTTTAGTGGTTCATGGAGTACCTAGGGTGGTATGTGGTAGAGGGGAAGAGGCTCACGTATATGATATGCAAATGGCGCTGGCTGTCATCTAGCGTGAGCCTTCACATCACTATGGCAATCAGCGTATCCGAGTTACCTCATCTGTTACTTCTCGCAAGTATTGTCTCCACGTTCGATGAATTTCAGAAATGAAGGCGCTTCAGGCCTGATAAAACTCAAAGAATGATCTCTCTAATCACATCAGATGTCAGGGCTTACCTAGATCAGTAAACGAACATCAGGAAAGCCAAATACAATACCATCAAGTGCCGCTGTACTAACGGAAGAGAACTAAGGGTTTACTTGGCAAAGATCAGGCACATGTTCTCCGTTGAATCTAAAGATCATTATCTTAACTTACGAAGACAGATTCCAACACTTTGGACTGCTGTCGCTAAATTATAGGGGAATAAAACGGGATTTGACAATGGCATACAGCATATTCAGTACTTCGTCACTCAAACGCAAACAACCTACCAGTACATCACCACCACGTCTCTCGAGGTAGTCCTTAGAAAATCACACATGAGACAGCAGAAACCCAGGTTCAGTCCCGATTCTACGTATTAAGGGATGCCTCCACTTGGAATGCTTTCACAGCCAAAACGACCACAGCTCACTCTGTGTAAGCTTCAAGAGGAGACTTTACAAACACTTACTCACATATGGATTACCATATCTCGCTTGAAGTATCTGTGACTTATGCCTGTTGGCATCGTTATCACATAATAATAACTCATTCTTATCTCGCCTGTTATCATCTACGTCTACTCTTGTCTTCCTACACTTCAGTCCTTTGACATTATCTACATTACCAATTAATTCGCTTATTTATTTATTTACTTCTTGGAACATTTGTCTTCTACTTAGCATTGGAATTTTATACTATTTACCACGTCGCAACTAACTAATTTCTGGTCCGGTAATGTGATAGCTGCTGTTATCCAGAAACTCTACTGTTCTGAAACAAACGCACTCAGTCAAATCGCTTCACATAAAAGGCCATAAGTAACTGGTAAACTGCTTGGAATCGGTGCAACTAAGCGGCTAGATTACCACATTTATAACATTTTTAGCTTATAAACCAGTTCGTAGTTAATTGTGACTTCTCGTGTATGCTCATAATAAGGAATTTTTTTTAGATGGACTTAAACAAGAAGATAGATTATTGTTAACAGTCATAGTAACTTGAGATATTTAAAACGTTATAAGATGGGTCAGAGAGAAAATGGTTGCTATGCTGCAGTAGTTTTGTATCGTATGAACGGTTGTGTTATTTTGAAAGAAACGAAATTCGTCTGTGTTGTTTTTTTAGTTTGAAATATATCTTCCTTTAGTTTTTATGCCTTTTTTTAACACTTCTCCTACCGTTTTTTCATAAAATTATCTTGTAATGTTTGATGCGTGTCTTGATAGTCTATTTTTGAAAAACATTTATTGCAAATTATGATTAGTCGTCGATCATATGTATATCTCAGTAGCTTGTTTTGCAAAGTTTAATCTTTAGAAATGTATGACAAAAATCACAGGTTCTTATTATATGTGGGTAGTTCTGTTTATTGAAACAATCTACTGATTGTTATGTGTTAAGAGTACTACAAAAATACTTCATTTGCCAGTTATTTTTTTGTTGTTGTTAAAACCTCATTATCTTTCTATTCTATAGTTTTAGTTGAACTAACTGATTTGATGTGCATAATTTTTCACTGATGAATAATTAATCTTATTTATAATCTTTTTTTTTTAAAAGGCTTTAATATCTCTACAGTTGTGATTATCTCTAGTCGAATATGACCGAAGCAATTGATACTCTAATTAATGGTTAGTATTCAGCTTTTTAACTTTGAATGTCAACTAGCCACTTTTTTACGTCGTTTTTCTATACCTTATGAACAAGTGAAAGATCAACGCTGTCAACAAGCGACCATTGCAGTAGTAAGTAAATAATTACATGAAAGATAGTATATTTTTCAGCATCCTCATTTAGGATGGTATAAATCAAGTGCTGACCGTAAAACATTCCCTTTTGTAAATATAAAGAATGTTAGTAAGCTTATTAACTTGTATTACAGTTGCTGAATAATTTTAGCTTATTGAACCGGATATCAAAACAGAAGATGCTATTTTGTACAAGATGATGACAAATTACGAGGTGATTATCTCTTCTTCTACAAAAAGTTCATTCCATTCATAAATCTAGGATATATTTTATTGCCGTCGTACACCTGAAAATGAGTCAATTCGTCTGTTGTACTGTTCGCATGCATTAAATCATTCGCTTAGGTAAGTCATTGAACTGTGTAGAGAACGTCAAAAATCGATAACATAGGTGTCGAATGCTTGTATCAAAGAATAATGAAAAAGAAAAACAATTTGGTGCATCTGAGTGAGTTATGTATTGACTTATAATTCATAAATTATGTCTATCATTGTGTATAAATTTAAACTGGTCTTTCGTTCTAGGTCTGAAATTGTTTTCACCTCCAAGATTCTACCGATCTAACAATGATGATATACAGTGAATAAATACTGAGAGATGATGCTTGGAAATAACGTTAAGTTTAGGCTAACAATTATTTCGTCCAATTTTTCCCGAACACCACATCTTCATGAAGTATTTGTCATTTAATAATGGGATTACAAAGGTGACCTGTTTTGATGCCAAATCCATATAATTAACAGCTAAGTAGTGGTAGTCGATAAAAAAATCGATTTATAAGAAGATAATCCAAAATACTAAAATCTCTAAGTCTGTAAAGAATCTTCCCACACAACTTAACAAACTTTTTCAGAAACTCGGGAATAACTTCTACTTCAGATGAGCACTATAGGTGAAAATTTACTGAACCTGTTACATTTCCATCCGCTTACCTAATTCGATTACAAATATCATGATAACATATGTGACTACTGTAAGCAGTTAAAATGAGTGTGAATAGTCAGTCAGTCAGTCAGCAACAACGTAGAACGTCGTACATGCGTGTATCAGTTCAAGTTGCTATACCACATTATAGTACAGAAATGCAATTGTTGATTCAAATTCCATAGCAGTGGATACATTAGAAGTAGTAGCGGTAATGGAAGTGATTATGGTTCGAAGAACTTATTCTAGAAGCATAATCCAGTGAAATAAATTTGCGATGAGATAGATGAAGATCATAAAGAGTTTAGATCAGAATTTGGGCGAACACAAATAATGGATGCACCTGCGCCATTGCAAACGATTTTGAGCCATGTCATTCAAGGTCTCTAACCATCGGTTACTATTGTCTCGCGGACCCCAAACAAGGCAGTCTACACCTAATTACATGGCTCAGTCCACTTGTCAGTGACTACATGGATTTCTGCCATGTTTTGGTTTGGCCGCCCCTAACTTTCTTCCAACCTGCTACTGCACCACAAAACATTGCTCAACGAGACAGTTGGTGGTTGGGCATACGTAATATATGTCCCAACCAGCTCAGTTGATAAAGTTTCACCACTTAATCTATTGATCTGCCATCCTTACCCAGTACTCGTTTCCTTACTCGATAGTCCCACGATATACGAGTAATCCTTCGAAGAAACCTATGATCGAATACCAATAATTTACGAATATCCTCTGTTCTTACTAGCCATGTTTCACACCTATAGAGTACAACGAAGTGAACTGCCGCACAGTAAACCCGTCCTTTGGTTGGTAGACGGACATCTCTCCTACGTCGTAAATGACTCAAGTTGGCAAAAGCTAGTCGAGCCTTCTGTATCCGTGCCAAGATTTCACCAAATAGAACTATTTCGTCGGCATGTTCTAAGTTGAGAAGTGAATCTCTGGGTAGAAGTTCAACTCCTTAAAAGTCAGATGCCGAAAGTATCGCATCTGAGTGATAATGTTGAATGAGAATGGAGAAAGTGAATAGCCCTGATGATCATCTTATGAAGTAAATGATTCTGCTAACGATTGTGACTAATTTGGTCTCGTTTGCTGATTCAAGTATGAGGGCGGATGTCACTTCCCGGCTGCCCAAACCTCTGAGGGTTACTTCTTGAGGAACTAAGAAAGGAAATTGGGTTAGCGTTAGTCTGAGCAACCTGGAAGCGAGCCCAAGGGACAACCGTTTGAGGTCGGCCACACACGGCCCTTCTATGGAGAGTTTGTAAAGTGTTGGCTTTGCTCTTCAAGTGCCCTTACTGCCGGAGGCGAACCTCCACAAGATAAAGCGCGGTATGACATCCTTAGTGTCAACATTTTCCTACTTCTCCCTCTCGTTGTGAGAATGCAGCATCGCGGCAGGTGCTGGTTGTTCAAGAGAAAGACCTTACTCCTGTCACACCCTTCTACAGTCAGCAGTAAGACTTCGCCATGAGACCTTGAGTTGCTGCTTTTAGTTTTACGGTTCTCCAATAGACCTGCCTGGCATGCTAGAACCTACAAAAACATATATTCCGGCCAACATAACGCGCTTGAGTTATCACAATGTTGAGGTAGCAGCTACTTTCGGGAAGTGTAAAGAACCCCGATCGTAATGCGTCGTTCTTATCAAGACGCAGGATAATAATCCAGAAAGTTTGGTTTCTATCAATACAAATTTAAAGCCATTTTATTTTTAATTCTTCGTTGCCTAGTAAGTATCCCTTATTTTTCTAAATTCCACTCCAAATAAATTTATTTTTAGCTCCCTTCGAGACCAAGGATTTCACCGGGCACGTACTCTTATTTTAGCACCAACTAAAGAAGCTGCCAGGCGAATAGTTCATACATTTCTTCATCTCATGCCTAAAGGCTCTACAGTTAGTCATCGGCGTCGTTTTGAACGAGATTTCGGTCCACAACCTGGAGACACAGACAAAGAGAAGAAAAAGGGGAGAAAGCCTAAAGATTATGAAGAATGGTTCAGTGGCAAGTTTTCGTTTATCAATTGTCATTTTTTTTTGTAAGTGCGAAGCTATCAGCATTTGAATCGAGTTGGAAAATAATAACCATCTTCAACCTAATCATGTAAAGATAATCTATTTTTCATGTTATATCGGCATATTTCGAATGTGGTGATCGTTTGCAGAATTTGAAAAAAGGCCTGCTTCCAAGTGCTTCTCAGATTTTATTTTGTCCTGTGGTTTTATCGCGCTTTGAAAACTACATTCGACTAAAGAAGAGGCTCGTTTAATTGCAGATACCTAGTAGTACCGTCTAAAATTCTTAAAATGAGTAGGTTTAACTGTTAGCTCCAAGCAAATAAATAACATATTCTGAAAATAATTACCGAACACAAACCGATTTACATATATATTATCACGTTAATACGGATGGCATTTTTACATGTAAAGAATAGATATTTGTCTTTTGATTGTGTTATCGTTCAAAAATTGTGTATGTATTACCTTTTTTACATGAACTACAACAATGTAAGAATCGTTAATTCTTTGTAAAGGGACTAGCAAATTTTGCTGATGAAGTAACAATGTGTCTAAGGTCGCTTCCAGTGCCATCTATGAAGGGAGTAAGTAAAACGAAAACACAATTACTCTAAAAGGTCTACTGTTTTAAACATATACTAGGTTATGTTGTTTGATTGACTATTCAGGAGTTTCAGAGGTGTAGTTGGAGCGATTTAATGTCGTGGAGAGATTGTGGCAACTTATTGCAGGATTTCGAAAACTTACAAATAAATTAGTTCTTATAGAAAGAAAAATTTTTATGAAGATTATTTCATTATAGGTAAAGAGATATGGATGCTATAACTTGGCGTTTTTGCATATTAGCGCGCATATCAGTTTCTGTTAGGCAAATAATGGAAGTAACAGTGACGGCTTTACAAGATGTTAACTTTCTCCCAAGTCAATTGACTACATGTCGATAATTATGTCAGCATACCAAATATCTAAATTTTAAATATTTGCTATTTCAAGTAGGTTCACTACAGGTAATTCATTTGACTAGTTTACACTTCCCGAATCATTATCTTCGATCTCTAATCTTTTCCATTACTACTAATACTGCTACAACCTCTACTGCTATGGGATTTGAATTAACCATTTCTTCTCTGTTTGCTAATGTGGTATGCCAACTTGAACTGATGGACGTACACGTACCAAGTTCTATGTTGTAACTGACTGACAGACAATACCTCTATGTTAGATGTCGCACAAGTTTGTCATTTATAAAGCTTTCGGTAAATGTACGCTTTAGGATCTGTCGTCCATGTGATCTCTCTTTCCACCATATTCAGTACAATTTTCAACTATATTTTTCTGTTTGCACTACTACTTATAGGACAAGTAGTGGCCATTATACCTATGACTAAAGTCTTTAAAGAAAAACTTCAGCGGTTAAATGCTTTGTTTAATCTATTAAACTGTTTAAACTTTTATTATGATACATAAGCAGAAAGTTATAGAAAGCTAAAACTAAATCAATCGGATATGGTGTTATATATATCTATGAAATTTTCATTATAGTGTTATGGAGATTGTTGTTTTTCGTTCAAATCATGAATCAGTCATTGTTATACCACTTTTAGATACCTGGAAGCACTGAAGGGCCGTTTTGTCCCTGTATGGGACTCTTCAACAATGTGCATCCACAACCTCCGCTTACGGGAGTCGAAACGCTGACTTTCGGTCTTGCGCGCGAACGTTTACCCTTAATAGTGATTGACTAATTTATAATTTCAGTGGAAAACAACAATCTCCATAACACAATAATGAATATCATACAATGTGCTCACTAGTGACCAGCTTCGTGAGGAAGTTCTCGGAGTTCTATTGCGATGTCATGACCAGTGGACTTCAACCCTGTTGAGTGTAGGCAGTAACTACCAAAGACAAATGAGTGAGGTTGCTCAAAATCCTTAGATCGATCGAGGTTAGACACTAACACCGTTGGATACTGACTCAGTGGTCTCGAGGTTAAGCGTTCGCGCTCGAGACCGAAGGTTTGATCTCCGTAAGTGGGGATGGTAAATGTGCATTGTTGATGATTCTCATACTAGGACGAAACAGCTATCCAGTTGCTTCAGGTTCCTTATGATGGTCTAGCAATGAGTAGTTTGTGATTTCAATTTTAACATTTTTCATGGAATCACATAAAACATTTTGTAAAATTAGCATGTACACTACGTTTCACTGTGTGTGTGTATGTGGATATTCTCTAATAACGTTATATAGTATTTTACATGTAATTAAAAAACCTACTACCAAAGAACAAGTGTATTAACAATGTAAACAGAAGTTTTCATGAATTGAACATTTTTCATTGTAGTTTTGGTAACTTTTGATTAGTTCATTTTGTTTATGCTAATCAAATTGTTTACTATTATTAACTTGAAACATCGACTACTTTTTTAAATAATTTACTTAGGTAATAGCAGTGACAATTTTCGTATTGGTATGGCGTTTTCTAAAAAATCTGTCAAGTTATATTCTGCATTTCGTGATTCCGATTTAATCATAGCTTCTCCTTTGGGAATTAAAGCTGTTATCGATGATGATGGGTAAGGATAATTATTTATTTCCTTCCTGTATTGACTTATATTATCTTGCAATAGTGTATAATCTACACTAATCTAATTCATTATGGTGCTTATTTTATTCCAAACACTTGCATAGCTCATTATTTCGTTTAATCAGATTATTCAATATACTTCTGCTACCTTTTTTTTAAAGTTTCTTTTGATAAATATTCAAATTTTTACTATATTAGTTAGATAACTCAACATCTTTAAAATCATTTTCAAAATTTATTAATCTTCCCTGTTTCAAACTTTTCTGAAATCGTTCTTTGCATTAAACTACATTGTCTTTTAAGTTCCTAAGGAAATGTGAGAATACTTTAATCCCTATTGCTATTTAATTCTTGAATCCCTACTTACACTAGTCTATTCATTTTTAGAGTAGTTAATTCATTTAAATTGAGGATCAAATATGGAGGGGAAGATTAACTCAAATTAACGTCCGCTTGTATGCTTCCTTTTTTTAAAAAATCGAATTTGGCAGCTCTTTCGGTTCCATTATCAACTACGTTTTCGTAGCATCGGGTGGGACATTTTGTCGTTAACCTTTTGAAATTAATTTTAGAGATCAAGTGTTAAGACAAATTTAAGTGATCTAATTATTCAACTATGGCATCTCGTCCTCTGTAGCTTTTTTATGGCGTAATAGCATAACGTGTTTGTTGCATCGATGTAATCAGTTTTCTGGATCGATAGATAGTATGGTCAGACGATGGATACTACTCATGTAGTCCAAATTACTGACACAACACCTTCAATTAAATGGATAACAAGCAACAGTACAACTGACTAGCAATGTTTATTCTTTCTAAAATACTGACCTGATTGAATGTTATTTAAAATGAAAGTGATTGAAAATAGTACGTACTTAATTCCTGTTCATAGTGTCCAGTTAAAGAGTAAACGATAACATATTGTTAATATGCAATATAGTCTTTACCAAAACAATGTAGGTTACTGTAGGTTCGTTATCTCCGATGCTTGGAATTAATGATGTTATAATGTAATCAACTGCCGAAAGTATAATTGCATAAATAGCTGCCGCTCTCCTCAAATTACATGTACAATCGTTGTTTTAGGTCCCTAACACTGGTTGTGGTTTGTTTCTATGCAAATCTGGTTTCAAGTGGTACAAAGGGAACCACTTGATTTTTTATTGAGACTACTTACATTACAGTGGAAATGCGGAATTTAAGCAAATGCTAACATGATTCCCAGTCGGGTGTTTTAGAGTGTTCTGAATGATGTTGATTTCAGTTTTATCTGATCATGTGAATACCGCTTTTGTAATGTGTTTCGCTAAATCTGACACAAATTTGTGAGGATTCCCAAACATTGAGATACAAGTCAAAATCTACCATGCTCCTATTTCTGTCTGAGCACTTAAATAATATTATCCTTTCTCTGCACCACAGCAAATTAACTTTACATTTTAAACATTTAACAATATGCTTAACTATCGAGATGGATTGATTTTATCACATACTATTCATATTTACAACTATATCCTGAGTAACTTGATGATTATGTCAAAGTTTCTCATAATATTTTATGATTCTATTGTGCTACCTCTATCCCGCTTCTTTAATAGCACAATAGTGTTGTTACTCAGTTATATATGTAGTTGAAAATGTTTCTTGTCACCGTTTTCTTGCATAAGCTGACTTATTCTAGACGTATTCTTATATTCTTAGAGAGAAAGAAGCCGATGTTCAACATATTATAGCATCCATAGAATTGTTGATTATTGATCAAGCTGAAATGTTATTAATGCAAAATTGGGCAACTGTACAACAAGTTGTCTCTTTACTCAATCAACGTCCAACTGTTCCTGTGTTTGCATCAGCTGCACGTATTCGACTGTGTTATTTAGCTGGATATGGTAGACGTTATCGTCAAACTCTGTTATTCTCAGCTGTATCGAATTTTTTGATTACATTATTATCAAGTGAATGTGAAAGTGAGTTTATTCAATAGAAAAAAAAGAATTGAGAAATATGATTACCAATTTTTAGTTATGTGATTGACAAGTTGTTTTTCACTGCATATGTTTATTTATGAGTGCGTGTCATGGCTTAGTAGTTAAGATGTCCAAGTAAGTTTGTGGGTCCTGTTCTCATACATATTTAACTACCACTATTCTTTTCTCAGTCAACTTTTAGAACTAGACATTCGAATTAGGAATTAGTTGCATTTTCATTTATTTTGAATAAAAGTTAAATTGAACGTTTACATTTTGCATACACTTGGATGCTGAAAAAAATTAGAATAGGAATATGTACTATACGGTATGTATTGGATGTAATCATTTGAAGTAGATTGTAGATCGTTTTTCTCAGCTGTGGACATGTTCATTTCTTAAGTTTTGTTGAGTTTGAAAAGGATTTTTTAAAAAAAACTTGAACTATGATACTACTATAATTGAATTTGAATAAATAGGAACTTCAAGATTCTCCATCGACTTTGTCACAACAGTGATTTCAACCGTGAAAGTATGGATCTTTATGGATGATAGCATATTCAATCTTTTGAACCATATATGTATAATTCGGAGTTTATAATTTTTGAGTGAATTTTCGATTGTTTGATTCTACTAGTGAAGCATTTCAATATGTCTGTTTCAATGTGTCTGTTAAATGAATCCATAAAGATTTTTCCTTATCCCCTTATAAACTGATCGTTCTCATTCTCATCATCGATGTTACATAATTTAAGATTTAACGATTTCAATAAAGAATACTTATTGATCGATGAATTGGGATGATGTAATATAACTGAGAATCTAGATAGGCATCGTTTTATTCATTCTGAATGAACAACAACAACACATCACTAGCCAGATGATGATGAAAAGACAAATATTCATGCCATTCAATGTGTCATGAAGCTGGAGTGGGGTGGGGGCGGTGCGGGATTCATTTGTAGAGATGACATTTACTCTTCAATGATGAAATAAGACTTTGATTTCTTTTTTTAGCTCAACAGTATTAATTGTAAAATGTTTACAATTCATCTTTATTGAATTGTAGATTTTCAAGGCATGAATTATATACCACCATTATCACAATATCCTGATTTATATCCAACCTATCTACCCGATTGGATACGTATTCCTGCATTGAAAGCACCTATTCCAACTGGAAAAAAACGTAAACATTCAGATATGAATGGTATAAAAGCACAAGAAGAAGCAGAAAAAGAAAAAGAAGAAGACAAGTCATCAACAAATTATAATTTCAAATTACATTTAATTTCATTTGTAGTTCCTGGACAAATCTCTATTAAATCATCCTGTACAAAATTAGTCAATAAAAATCATCAATCCGATTCAGATGATGAGGTAGACATATCATCGCCTGCAAAGACAACTGATAATTCTCATCGCTATTATTCGAATTCCTTAAAAGTAGATTCTTCAACAAATTCCTTATTATTGTCTGATAAAACACTTGGATTCACTGATTATACATATTTATGTAAGTTGCTATTCAATTGTGTTAAATTAATGCTCATTCTGATTGTAATAACTTCATTTGAAAAATTCATAATCCAGTAGTCATAGTTTAGTTGACTGCATTTCATTGTGTTGTAATGCTGCTACATAGCTATTCAGTCCTACCGACATCCAAATTCAAATATTCCAATACGACCCCAAATACTATTTCCAAATCTCCTATATATCAGAACACAACACCGTTTGATGAAGTTGTTTTTAATGGGTCGAGTACAGTAGAGAGGAAGGCAGGAAGGAGCGGTATATAAAGCTTTACAGATACTGAGTGTTTATACATTTAGGTGTGTGACATTGACAGTTAAGACGACCAATAGGAACCAACATTTGAAATGACATTGACAGTCAGGACGACCAATAAGAAATAACATTGGAGTACGTGACATTGATGTCTAGGACGACCATAAAATTAACCAATAGGAATTGACCAATAATTCTCTTAGGGTATTGGATGAATATCCTAACACATTGTTAAAAAGTTGAACTAGATAATGGACAGACATGCAGTTGTTAGACCATTCAAATTCTCATATACCCCCATATCTTCAATCAAGACATCAGAAAGCTAAATGGCTACCTTCAAGTATCTAAAATATCAAGTTGAGTAATTGGTTAATTGTAAATTAGTCTAAATGGCGATCATATGACAACGAGTGATTCATTAAATAATAGATAACAATTAGCATTATATAAAAAAAATACCATGAGACGACTAGTAAACATACAAGTTAACTTTCTTCCCAAAAAATGCACACCCAAATTTCAGATTTTTCTCTCTTTGCCTCCTTATTACAGTTTTCTATTTTTGCGAGGCATGATAGATGCAATCATTTTTAGAGGTTTCGTAGGAGGTCTAGTTAGCTTTCAGTACGAATTTCATAAAAGGGTAACTCCAGTGTTCGGTTTGGCTTCATTAGTTTTCTTAAAACTTTTATGTCTGGATTGGGTAACATATTAAACGTCGTAGCAAAGATTTTATTGACCATTTTGTGGAAGGTTTCCTTATGGTGTATCGTAAATGATTAGTACGTCGCACGCACTCGTAGTTAGAATATTTATCTCTGGTACCTATGTGGTTTTCGAACTGTGAGGTCATAAATTTCTGAGATAGCGCCGCTTCTACTGATTTTCAGTGTTTTCTTATTCTTCAAAAATGCTTAGAGAATTCGGTTTAATATGCTCTGAAGACACTTTACATCTTTTTCTCAGACATCTTATCGAAATGACTGTTATCCTAAAATTATTCAGAAATTTCCAGTTTATCTACCGCGATTCCAACTATTGTATAAGACGTTTGTGTAGATATTTAAAAAGTTTAACCTCTAATTATCATTATGTGATCTCTAACGTGGCGGTTGGACTTGAATATCAATCAGTCATGACCCAAAAAAGCTATACTGACTGGGACAGTTGCTATTTTGGGTGCTGCTATGCCTGACACATGTCAATTTCAATCAGTCTTCGTTAATTTCATCACTAGTTACTTTCATTAGCTTGTCGATTACAGATAACAAAAGCATACAAACAGCTCAACATAAACGATTGATAATTCGATCTATTTACTCTATCTCATACATTTCAACTTAGAAATGTGACTGGAAGTTTTACACTTTAATGATTCTTTTTGTTTGCATAACTTTCATCATATTCATTATCCTTTTTTGTGTTATATTTTGTACTCAGCTGGACGTAATATTTCTATAGCCCGATTAAATACCTTTAAACAAAGGATATTGCCTAGGCTACGTCGAGGTTCAGATCCACGTGTTCTTATATATGTGCCAGATTTTTATGATCTTGAAGAATTGCGCCAAGTTTTACTTGATGAATCATTGGATTTTTGTTGTATTAATGAGTAGGTTTTCTAATTTGTGCTGTTGAATAAGTTTGTTACTTTATTACTATGAAATGTAAACTTTCTTTTCGCCGAGTGCTCGAAAAGTATCATAGCCTTTATACACATTACGGCTTGAAGGCGAGCAAGTTTTGAATGATATATTCTACTTTCAACCACAGTAAGTTACAGGTCTGAACCCTGCTCTGTTTACGTTAGTTTGGGTAGGGTTTGATTCGAAGTGGAGTGCTGTACTTGGTAAATGAGTTAGTTATGCAATTATTATTGCATGATGATGTAGCGTAGGAAATAGTCTGAAAGCCTAATTTTACACAGTATACATGTTTTTACTATTATTTCACCACATATGGATGTGAGGCCGAATATTTTGACCGTGTTTGTACAACTTGAATTGCCGTTGAAGTAGCAGAGTGTGTTAATTAGCTCATCTTGGAAGCCTCACCAGCCCTGGTGAGTTGATGTCTGATGAAATCTCATCACAGATTCAGAAAGCTCGATTTTCGTTTGCTCATTGGCATCACTAATGGCATAGGCGAGATATCCGTCTACCAACTAAAGGATGTGTATACTGTGCAGTTCACTTTGTCCTACTATTTGGTTGTGATAAAACATGTTCTTTGAAAATAGGTAACATTCGTAGGTTACTAATATTTGATCATAGGTATCTTAAAAGTATTGCATGCATAAGGTGGTGGGACGACCAAGTGAGCACTTTGCAACTTGGATCAATGTTAGAGATATTTTTCTCTCGCATATTTCCGTAACTTCGACTTGATTTTCGTGGAATTTTTTTTCATCAGATATACAGACGACTCAGAAGCTGAACGATTTCGTACTTTGTTTGGTGATGGTCGTATTCGTATATTGTTAATAACTGAACGTTATTATTTCTTTCGAAGGTTAGCATTTACTATGCCGATTATCGTTTATCAGTATTGATTTTGTTCTTGTATTGTGTTGTATTTATTTTATACTAGTAAGGATCGTTAGATTGTCAAGTTAAAATGATAACATGAATAGTGTATCTTAATTTAGTTGAATGACTACAATAGATCAGTATCATGTCAATGGTTTATTATTAACATACAATTCCTTTGAAGCGAGCGTTTTTTTTGGTTGGAATTCATCGGGACCATTTTATACATAATGACGAAATCGTTTAAAATAATGTTTCTCCGACTGTTAATACTGACTTTTAATGATGAATGTTCCACTTGATCTCTCCTCTATGAACCTACAGTTGATTTCCATTTGTTTGAATACTTCGCGTTGAAGTGAGTGAGTAAGATGGTAGTTAGTGGGAGTAAAAAAAATGGTCAGTTGCTTGTGACTGTAGTCCATAAAGTCCTCATCGCCACATTAGGGCACAAGTTCCCGTTCTTTGTTGTTTCAAACATTATTTTCTGTAAGACGAGTATTATTTGAAAAGATCGTTTGTGGTCCCCAGCATATATGTAAACAATGAAACACCTAATCTATGAAAATGGAGCCTACTCTTATTCAGTTATATCACCATCAGCTGGGTAGAAGACTGTCATCCATTTTTATGCTTTGATCTTACTTTAGTACGAGCATGCCTTTGCTACCGTCCTACTTAACACGAAAAGAATGCTACAAGAAAACTATTTCGATTTCAACTTAAGAACGACAGACTCGAAAGTATACTTCGGGATCAACTAGAGAAACAGTTGATCATTTAGTCAAAGCGATGAATAACCCGATGTTGGATGGCATGATATCTGCGAATGACCATAACCAACAGATTTTAAAAATTCAGTAAACTTCAGCGTCTATTGAACTGATGTTTGCTCGGAAACTCTTCCCGTCATACTCCAAACATGATGAGTAGCGAAGGCAACTTGAACGTAGACTGACAAAAAAAGTTAACGTGAGCAGTCCGTGAATAACTACAAAGATTTTTTCAATTTCTTTAATATTTAATATTTTAATCTTGACCGCCTATTTTGCGCTATACATTGAAAATTAATTTCCCTTGTTTATTTTATATTTATTCTATGCATACAGGCGAAAAATTCGTGGGCCTCAAACATTTATTTTTTATGGTCCACCAACATTTCCATGGTTTGCCAAGGAATTGTACGATTTCCGATATTCAGAAAGCAAAATACAATACAACATGACCATACTCTATTGTCACCCAATAGAAACCCATACAGTAGCAATGATAACTGGTTCAGTAGAGTTTTAATAATAATAATAATACTATCATGTATAAATAATTATCTTGCCCTTACTTCAGTGTATTTAATCATAAATGAACTAGTTTTATTCATTTTGATAAATCTATATTTTGAAGTAGTGCATGACTGACTATGCAAATTATATCGTTTCAGAATAAAAGTCTCATCATAACCCGTAGATTCCAAGCTGTTTACTAGTTCATTCTTCACACTGATATATAAACCTTGAAGCTGAGGTAATGATGATATGTCCGATCAGATTCGTTATTTTCCCAGCGTAGTGGACGAAGTTAGCAGTATAGTTCTTTTATATCATTAATGTATCAAGTGATATACTGTATATACATATTTACCTTTGCCACCCATATTAAATTTCTTAGATGTTTACTACCAGTTTTTCTCTCTGGTAGAGTATACAATTAAAACTGATCAGGTTTTAATGATAATTTTTCTCAGAATAAGATATTAGGAAAAGTGTAATCATAAATCTTTTTCTTTTTCACATGCTTAATCATACGACACGTGTCATGAGTACAAACGCTAGTATTTTTGCAGTATGTAGTAGTTACATTGAGTGTATTTTAGTCTATCGAATAATCATCTCACAAACACTTGCCCATGAAATTTACTCAATTGATCATTTGCATTGGAAATAGCACATACATGTTTGTTGGGTTAAAAATAGTTGGTTTATTGCAAAAAGAAAAAAACAGAACAAAAACAGACTAACTAAAGTTGTGTACAAAAAGTTCAAGTTATTAACAATATAATCACAGACAGATAGATAGATATGTATCACAATATTATTTTGCACCATAAACACACAAACAATAATCATGAATAATAATAATAAGTAAGAGTTTAAGAAAGTATAAATTTAAAAAAAGATGTGAGATCAAATAACTTTAAAATAAATATAAGCAAGATTTCTAAATTTCGCAAAGTGATTATTGAATGTTTAAATTTAATGCATTCAGAAGTGTTTAAATTAATAAGAATTTAAAAATGATTAAAAAAAAAAATTAACTCATCAAAAATACCAAGTTCAAATGATGATCGACTCTTGTTATTCACATAGTTTACATCTGTTTTCCAATAACACAATCAGCTCTTATCTCTTGATTAAGTTTTGAAACGCTACCAATTCGATTCATTGTACATTCGAAACGTCCGATTGGTTGACAATTAGATTCTTTACACATTTTCATGAAATTATTATATTCTAGTGATTTAAAGCGCCAAGGTATTGAGAATGGTGTTAAATGATTTACATACTGTAATAAACAAAGACATTTAATCAGATTAGTTAGTTATATCAGTATGTGAGGGATTTGAAGAGAGATTGTCAAATTCTAATAGTTTAAGGCACGAATTAATCTCAACCAAACGACAAGTAGACACTGAATAGTTGTTTTATGGGTGTGGAACTTTTCAACGGTAAAAATGCAAAAGCACCTCCCAGTCCACAGTTAACTGAACCCAAAACTATCGATCTTGCGTGAGAACCCTTAACCTGTAGACCATTGAACCGGCATCCAATGGTTCACATGTTCAACTTCAATCATCTCAAAATATTACGTGGCTATTTTGGATTGCCTGCGATGGAAAACTGTCTGAAACATAAGTGAAATCCACTGTTCACAGACCCTCACTAGAACACCAGTAATAACACCTTGAAGCTAGTCACGAGTAAACATATGATAAGTATTAGTTCAAGGTTTTGAAACTCTGCTGGCACCAAGCCCACATAAAAGAAGGGTTAGCGAATCTACCCCTTTGAAAAAAATTGATAACAAGATGCTAACCATAAAAAAACACACGAAATCTTTTAGTTCAATTTGAAATAGTTTGGATTATTCCATTGTTGATATTTTCATCAGTCTTTGTTGTCATAGCCTCGGCATATGACGAATTTATATGGAATGGATAGAATGCGACTAGTAGTGGAATCCAGGACCAGCGTTTCGTCCTATTATGGATTTGAACTCAGTCTATTGACTTTTACAATAAAATCCTCACAAAATGCGATTGTGTAATAGGATTCACTAGGCTGAGAAATGGAGACAGACATGTGAACAATGAACCAAGATTGGACAGAACTGGAAAGGAAGGCACAGGACCGAGCACGTCGGGGAATGCCAGTCAGCGGCCTTGGCACCATTGGAGGTAACAGGCGTATGTAACTAAGTACTTACATAAGTTTAGGCATTCCTTCACCGAACAATGAGCAGCCCTGGGACATAATGAATTCCTATCATACTGCAAATCTTATTATTCTTACACTCTCTAAACTAATGACAATGGAGTAGTAAGGATAAACTTACAGCTTTAGTGATTCTATTGTCCAGAAGGTAACCAGCTAAGGATTCAATAGTTTCATTGACAGTACTGCATAATTTGTCCGTGGTACCTGTTTCTAGGATATTATTTTTAGTAAAATCCTCAGAAATCTGATGATAATCTTCTACTGTGGGAGAACTACGTGATTTCAATTGACGACGATTATAAAGTTGATTCTGACCATTTGTAAACGAATTACGTAGCGCTGGACGTCTGGATACATGGGGTTTTAAAGCACAAACATAAAATCGCATATTAGATAATTCATATGTTATCGGCTCATTGCAATGTATATTTTGATTGCAGTATATTTCCGGTGTTATATTTGAATCTGGGTCAGCATCCACACAAGTAATGTTTAGACTGACAATAGTGCTAAAGATAATAAATAATAAGAATGAAAAAAGATACAAAACGTTTTAACTTTAGTTAAGAAGTATTGTGGTGTGAGCTACTTATAAGTAGTATATGACGTGAGTGTCAGCGTAAATGTCTGGTAGCATAATATGGGGGGAAGATCAAGGAAAGGAAGAGTTAGAACACAATGGAATTCGTATGAAACGCATGAATAGTGACAATAGATTGATGTTTTGCAGCAGAAACACTCCAGTTCGATATGATGGACTGATATTTTGCAAATGAACGATTTACGATATGGTTTTCCAATTTTACTGAGTAACGCTGTAATTTTCGTTTAATACAATCCGGTTGCCCCCCTGTGTTCTCATTCACTACAGTATATTTCATAAAGTTGCATTTTTCTAAAAACATTACACACAAATAAATGAGCGATCATGCTGACTACTTTATCTCACAGAGGAATAATGACCTGAAACATATGACAGAAAAAAAATTGACCAACGGTTAACCAACCTATACATATATTAGCGTTTTCGAGCACAATATCACGCTTTTATGATTCAAGTTTTCTGTCAGCCAATCTCTTGTGGTTCGGTATGGCAAACATTATAACTAGTTTTTACGCCGCTTGTCATAAATAACGATGACTGTATCTTGCCAACTTATTGCAGATAGACGATTCGTATTCTTGTCAATTTTGTTTGACATGTTTGCGACCTTGAAGTAGTGGCCGGACTTGTCTATTGTGATGACCCAAACGAGCTATGGTGGTAGGTTCTACCAACATACATGTTCAAGCTTTTAATGTCAACAAGCTTTCTTAGCTAGGACTTTGGAATCTCACGCCATCGATGTATGCTGTATCTTCGAAATGCTCACAAAAAACCTGAGAATAGTGAATAATTAGACTTCACTTTGCCCAGAGACAGAGCCAACTCGGTTTACGATTCGTGTATTTGGAAGCCCTGCTTCCCGTGGCCTACTAGGTGAAGGTAAAGCAATGAGTCCTAAGGCTAGCTCCTTTACACTGGATCCCAGAATATAGTCGTTTGTACGCTGTCCGATTAGACGGGCCATTGATGTAGAGGTTCGATAACAGACTGTCGCTTGCCCTAGAGCACATGTTTACATTCAGATCATGCTCTAATGCAAACAAGGGAAGAAGCAGACCCTGACACGCTTACCTTGAGATATTTGACGAGGATGGTCCACTTTTAGCACTTAGAATGATTGAGATCTTGGACAGAATCTAGGAACTGATCGTAATTCGATCCAACTAGCCTAAATCGCTGATTGTACCAGTTTATTGAAAAGGACTCAGACTCTTTATGAATTTGAAAAAGCTATAGGAAATTTGAAGCGAAGGATGGCTTATCCCAAAGGTTTTTATGCTTAGTGGTCCAGCTTTCGCAGTTAGATTCACTGAGATCTTAGGTAGAATTCGGGAACTGAGCTTAATGCCATCTGACTGATCTCAATCACTGATTGTCCCAGTCTATAAGACAAAAGTCCTCTTGAGACAATCACAGAGAAATCAGTCTAACTAATATAGTGTTGAAAATGTTAGCCTCGATAATACTTCGACGCCTAACTAGAGCTTGTGAAGGGCAGACTCGAGAAAAGCAGGCTGGTTTTCGACCTGGACGAGGATTTATAGACCAAATATTCACTCTTCGTCAGGTCCTAGAACATAGACACACGTTCATACGTACCACAATTGTTGTATTTCCCCACCTTAAGGCGGCATTTGACTATGTAGATCGTGAGATTCTATAGCGGAGTTTGTCATTGAATGGAGTACCGAATAAGTATATCACCCTTGTACAGGGTATCCATTTTGGTATTACTGGTCGAGTCAGAGCTTATGACGAAATGTCATCGGAATTGATTACCTCGAGTGGTGTTCGTCAGGGTTGTCCACTTTCTCCATTCTTACTTAACTTTTTCATAGACATGCCGTTAGAAAACACACAATCTTCGTCTCGATTTTCTGGAGTTTAGCTTTTACAGAGAGATTCACTTGTTGACTTTGAATATGCCGATGACATAGATCTATTTGGTGAAGACGCTGACAAAATTCAGCCTTCTGACCACCTGAAGCAACAATGAAAGCATGTTTGGAATGCGGTTTTCCCAGTCGAAATGCGAAATGTTGCTTCAGGATTGGCACCTGAACTAGTGATAGGGAGTGAAGTAGTTGAGCGTGCTGACCACTTCACTTATCTTGGGAGTCTCACCAGAGTTTTTGGCCTGGAGTGTGAGGCGATCCCGGAACAGATGCAGAAGGCTCGACTAGCTTTCGCCAACTTTTGTCATTTATAGCGTAGGATAGATATCCTTCTACCAACCGAAGGACTCTTCTACTGTGCAGCAGTTCGCTCTGTCGTACTTTATGGCTGTGAAACATGGCCAGTAAGAGTTGAGGATATTTTCAGGTTACTAGTACTCGATCATAATTGTCTTCGAACCATTGCTCGTATATCCTTGGTCTATCGAGTAAGCAGTTCTGTTGTTACAAAACGGAAACTAAGTAAGGATGGCAGATGAATAGATGAAGTAATGAAACTTCATCAGTTGAGGTGGTTGAGACGCATAACCTGGTTTGTGTGCAAATCAGTTCGTGGAAGAGGTTTGAATGTAGCATAATCGATCACTTGCTTGGATCCATTAATACCAAATGTTGCCTTAATACGGAACATCCAAAAACATTATTTCACTTTGGCCATAATTCAGAATTGTGCACGGTTTATTATGAAGCATAGACTACATACGAGAACCAACCAGTTGATACACATATTCAAGGTCAGATAAACAATATGAAGTATATATTCATCTAAGTTGTATTGTATTTTACAATTCTCACAAATTGAACTCAACAATGTTTCACAGTTACTACTAATTACCGTTTTTACTAAATAGAAGTTAACGGTGAAAAATTCTTTCAACAAGTAAAACGTAAAAAAATTTTGACTAAATTTGTCAACTGTTATTTTTCGTTCACATTCGACAGCGGTTTATCGAAAATGAGAATATTAGTGTGCAACACAGAATGCATTATAAAGCCTCTATGATATGAGAATGAACTAGTTATAACATAGTAAATTCATTCACCTGAACCTTAACTACTTTGTCACAGGTTTAAATACGGTTGTTTCTGATAAGTCATCATGATGACATGTATTGCATGTTTGTTATTTCTTAAGCTTGTGCGAAGTTTGTGAACTACCGGATTTTATATTCATAACCTGCCACGTAAGTTACCTGTAATACAGGAATTTGATATTCTTACTAGTGAACACTGATTGATGAAGTATGAGTTTTTCATTGATAGACATTCTAAACTGTGAGTTTTCATAAATAAGCATGTGGCAAAAGTTGGTATATAAAAGTCATGTGAGCTTTTTCTGATCAACTGCTAAACGATACAAATAAACGAATAGTATTGTTCCAAATTAAATCGACATCAGACTTTGATCTAATATACATGAATAATTATATGCTGATGTTAAACTAATCAAGTCTATTTACTAAAACAGCCAGGGTTGATGTCATCTAGAATTTAGAACTTCGAACGTATGCATATCAGATCAAGTTGCCATACTACATTCGCACAGAGATGCAAAAATCAATTCGAATCTCAGTAGTAGAAGTATTAGCGGTAATGGAGAAGACTAGGGTTCGAAAATGCTATACAAGAAGCACCATTGCAAACGATTTTGAGTCATGACGTTCAAAGTCTTCCACGATCTGTTACTACTGCATCGCGGACCCCAACCAGGTAGTCTAAACTTACCAATATGACTCAGCCCATTTGCCAGTGACTTCGTGGATTTGTGCCACGTTTTGGTTTGGCCGCCCCTAGATTTCTTCCAGCCTACCACAAAACAGTGCTGGTCGAGACGGTTGGTGGTTGGGCATACATAACACATGTCCCTACCACCTCAACTGATGAAGTTTCATTACTTCATCTATTCATCTACCATCCTTACTTAGTTTCCGTTTTGTAACAATAGCATTGCTCAGTCGATAGACCAAGGATATACGAGCAATGCTTCGAAGACAATTATGATCAAGTACTAGTAACCTAAGAATATCCTCAACTCTAACTGGCCATGTTTCACACCCATAGAGTAGGGCGGAACATTTTGTCAGCGTCTTCATCAAACAGAACTATATCATTTGCGTATTCTAAGTTAACAAGTGAGTCTCCCGGAAAAAAAATTCAGTTTGTGAAAAATCAGACGAGGAAATGGTTATCGTTAAAAGCAAGTCCATGACAAACTTCAATAAGAATGGAGACAGAGTTGATGAAACCATCAAGGATAAATGACGTGGTCGACGTGCTCAATTCCTCTACTCGCCAAAGTCAGACCAGAAGTTGACGAAGCTGAGCTCTGAAGCAACATTCTGGACTTCAAACAGGATTATTGAATCTCAATAATTTATGAATCGTTACTTAAGGTGTTGAAATGACAGCATCCTCTCCAGCATTTCAAGAAATGGTATGCATTAACATCAGTTAATAAGATGCTTTAATATATAAATATATATATATATATAATTAATATAACTTGATCATTGTCTACTTACTATGTTTTATTAGGTAAAGGATATATATTCAAATTGAATTCAAGCGGTTTGATAACTTCCACTGGTAAAATACAATAATGTCCACTAGGCATTGAAAGAGCAAACTGAAATATATAGAAAAAAAATACTTTTTTAAATGCAATGAATATTTATTTTTAAATTAAAATTCCTTAGTCAGATATCGAGTAAAAATCAAGAAAAAACAATATAAAATAAATTATAATTGGATAATTGTGTATGGGTGATTTGAATAAATTATCAGTTTATTCGAATACGATATCGTTTCTTGTATGTAGGGTTGTTCTAAAGCTTTAACCAAACAACCATATCGAGTGGGAGAGTTTTTCCAGATCATTGAGCCAACAAAACAATTCATAAAAGAGTGGACCAACACGAACAATAGAACTTAACTCATTCATCTAACTTTATCTTTTGTTGAAACACATCCCATCTCCATTTTACAGAAATTATTAGTAGGACTTCTCTGAAAGAACTTGACAATGCACGATTGTACAAAGACATTCAAAGTGAAATCAATGGCTTCCATCTATTCTTGGTTGGATAAGTGTGTGTGTGTGTGTGCTTAATGCTGAGGACTCTTGGTACATGTGTCTAGAGTCTACACAACACTAAGTCAAAATGTGATTTTACTAATTTTCTTGATTGTAAAACGATGTGAAGCGCATGGAATTTATGAAACATAAATTTCGATTATGAATATTTGCATATATCATATAGAAAGTCGATATATACAGATACATCTATCTTACTTGATCATTAGAAGATGTAGCAGATAAATATAATGGTCTACTTAATTGCAGACAACATCCAGGTGGAAATGTTGGCATAGAATGATTAACTTTACAACTTGAATCACGGATTGTTGTAGGTGGAGTAAATTCTCGTATAAAATCAACTGGTCCATCTTCTAAAATAAATTGACTAAACAAATTGTGATGTTTTATCAGTGAATTTTCATCTTGATAATTTTCCAATGAATTAGAAATTAATGAATAATCATTTGCTCTAAATTGACTACTCATTCCATAACTACCAGCGACAGTGGGATAGCCATTATTGTTTGATAAATTTTCGCTTTCATTATTGTTATTGTGAGGCTTGATGAGAGTTGTTTGTGTTGCGTTCAATTGAGTATTTTCTGCTTTATTCTTGACTACTAGCTTTTTATCATTTGAGCGAATACGATATAGACTTGTGCTTAATTTACAGTCTTCTGGTAAGCCAAGTTTACCCAATTTCAATCGAACTGGAATTGGTTGACATGTACCAAACACAACTGTGGATTATAATTGGAAAAAAAACAGGAACATACTTCAGATTAATAAATTAAGTTTGAGTTTGAAAAGTATTCACATAGAAGCTAATTAATATTTGAGGCATCAGTATAGTGAATAGCTAAGTAATAGTTCAGACAATTCAACTGGTAAATTGATCTCTAGGCATACTACCGAAACGTTTCATAGCAAGAAAGATAAACATTGTTAGCAGATGTCTAAATAATTTTGCTACAGTCAGTGATGTATTGATCGAAGGAAGATGTGCCTGGTTAGTGAGCAAGGATACATATATTCTGGGTCACTAAACAAACAAGACTATTTTAGACATAACACCGATCCATACCTTGTTGTAACTGTTGACTGCTTTGTCTGTTGATAAGCTCATATTCTGGAGTAATCTGGTTCTAGATCGTACATTTTAATGAGTCGTGGAGTCAAGTTGTTGAGTATTTTGTTTGGCCTCTTGATATGATTATCGAGTATCTATTATTCAGGATGAGACCTTCAAAGCTTGTTCCTACGATTATAACAGTCGGGCAAACAGATGTACAGCTCGACATTATAAACAATGTCTAGTCGTTACCAACATTTTTACGTGGTTCACTTTGTTGATTTCTTCAATTTGTAAGCGTTACGCTTGCACGTAAACACGTCAACTTGATACACCTGAACTATTACGAGTTTACCTAGTTGGAAAACAAGAGGGAGGATCGAGGATCAGGTGATACGACATACTACTCAAATCCGATTATCCCAACCCCCATATTTATTAAAAAACATAAGAAGACATGATATGAAGTAGAACCTGTATAACACAACCATCCAGAAAGTACGAGGTCCGAATCCAGAAGAGAAACAGGATCCCTGACTAGGGATCCGAGACCGGGTCCTGGTCCTGGTCATAAAATGTTACAGATAATGCGTACTTATACATTTTGGTCGAATAGGAAACAGCATCGAATTCTGTAGCATTGACAGTTAAGACGATCAATAGGAAGTAACATTTGAAATGACATTGACAGTCCGGATGACCAATAAGAGACAACATTGAAGTATTTGACTTTGACAGTCATAACGACCATATTTTTGACCAATAATTCTCTTAGGATATTGGATGAATATCCTAACAGTGTGCCTGATGTTTATGTAGGAAATACACTGAACATTACAACTTCACCTTTGAACTTTAAGTTGTTTCTGTTAGTCTAGTTAACTATCCAACGGACCTGCTTGAAATGGTACGAATTACTAAAGAAACGAATGTTCCACCCAATTTAGATCAGTCATGTCGCCATTACATACAAACCTGATCACCTTGTCAAATTGAAAGCATAAAAATATATGTAATATTTCCTACCTTTAGGAAATTATGTAGACAATATGCTTACCTGGATGATGTTTATTACTTGAATTGTTGGATACAGCAATTTCCGGTTTAGGTAACAATGTCTTCATTAGTTCAGTATCACGCCAACTAGATCCATACACATCATCATCTATAAATGATACAAAATTTATTTCTGAATAATTATTCATTGTCGACTGCATGGATTGTTGTTCTCGCAATGCTTCTTTTAATTCTGTGTCGATTTCATCAAGACAATTAAGAAATATTTGTTCAGGAATTAAAAATCCCGGTACCTGTAAAATTGTATGATTATAGTGTGTATTAATAAAGTATATGGAAAAAAAATAGTTAAGATAAAATATTAACAAGATTTGAATAAAAAATCTTCTGTTAAGGACATTTTCTTGACCCAACACACTTAATAAACAATATTATGATGCTTTATTATGGTGTACACATGTATATTATGCTTAGGAAAAATATGAACTAATGCGTAAACTGTATTGATGGTGTAAGGTGTTTTAGAATATAAAAGACAAATGGAAAAACAAGTGCAGAATATTTTGTGTTGAAATTTCAAAAAAAAAAATAATGTATATTATGCATCTTAATGTTATTGTCAGAAATAGAATGAAGCATTAGACGTTGATTATGTAAAAAAAGTATTTAAATGTGATCAACTTGTCACTCAATAAAAAAAAAGCTTTAATTCCGCATACTGAACACAATAGTAACAATGATAAATGCTTCAATCGATTAAAAGACATTAGTGACTCTTCATTCAATGGGAAACTACATTTGAATAATACACTCTGGACGAAATTAAGATGAACTTAAGAAAGATTGCCTGCTCTGAACGATTAAAAACGACCTAAACACTGTTTTTACAAATGTCGTTGATCATCAAGAAAATTCTAGAACACTGTACAAACTAGAAAATACACTGCATGAATGCATACAAAAAAAGCCCAGGGGATTTGAAACATAAAGAGAATGTATAGAACATGTAAGCAAAGTGAATGTCTAATCCTCATTTAGGTAATATGATAGAAGAAACGTTGCTTTGAAATCACATTGTTTGATAGATATTTTTCAGCCTTGTATAATTATTTTTAACAGTGAAGAAAATTAGCGATATTTTTATTATAGCGCCATACATATATAGGCTAGCTGTATTCAAAACATCAAACACAATTCAGGTGTATTTTGCTTCGTAAGCTTAAATAACTTCGATTAATCACTTGGTGACAACAGATAGTTGAAAGGGAAACTTTGTTACCACAAGAAACACCAGTTGCCTCAATTATTCAGGTACCCCATTGTTAATGATTTTTTAATTAGCGATAAATCCGGGTCCACAGGGTTTTCAGTGGAGTAAATCCAATCATGTTGCAGTAAAATATAGGGCAGATAAAATCACCAGTTCATTAAACTAATGGTTATACAGTAGTTTGGTTGATCAACTTTATGGACTAGACGAGAAATATAACATCCTGGTTAGTTAATCATTAATTGTTTCATAACTGTCTCATGGGCGTAATAGTAAATTCACAGGAAACAAACTGTAGTATGCTATACTACAGTTTATCTCAACCTAAACATTTTACTTATTCACGCTGAGAAACGCCAGCTGTAGAGCCGTCAGGGCTACTGCCGGTCACCAAGCCCGGATAAAGGAGGAAGGTTGGGAGGATGGGTTGGCGACCCCATCCCGCCAAAAAACTAACTGCTTCCCGATGCCTCACTGGCGTAAGTATAGCATTAAGTCATCGGATGCCGATAGACATTCACTTATGCGCTATCTCACTAAACGGGACAGTACGGACTCCGAAGGATAGGGACACTCAACGTTGCCTCTTCGTCGTATCTGCCAACGCTACCACTGACTGCAGTTCAGACGAGGTGAAAGATGAGTTTAACAGAAAGCTTTCACACCTCCTCCTAAAAGTTTGGCGCTCTGATATAGTAATAATGGCTGGTCACTTCAATGCACAAGTAGGTAGGCTAAGTGAAAATAAAAGACACCTGAGTGGATCTTATGGTGTCGCCGCTAATAGAACAGATAGTGAAGACCGTCTGCTGCAACTACGCTCAGATAACCGCTTATTTCTAGCAAACACTAACTTTAAGCATAAGGAAAATCATCTTTTGACCTGGAGACCCCCAAAGTAGTCACAACGTTGGACTCAACTAGATCACATTGCCATCAGCCACCGAAGGGAGTGGTTCGATAGAGGATTGTCGATCGTTCTGGGGAACATGTTTAGATTCAGATCATGTCCTAGTACAAGCGCGAACCTTTGAGCCTTACTGGACATAGGAAAGACACCGCAAGGAAACCTCTTGAAGTTCTACTTATTGATGATAAGGCTAGGAATATATCTCAGGAGCAACTAGAAAGACAGTCAGGTGACCACATAAATGATTCCCAAACCGGAGGCAGCTTGGAATGATGTCAAAAAGGCTCTGGAAATAGCAGTTATATATGCTATTAAGGTAAACCATAAGGCTAGGAAGAAGTCGTGTAGAAAGGATTTGATTTTGACCAATTTGGTCTCGCGTGCTGTTACGGCTATGAGGGCGGTTGTCACATCCCGGCTGCCCACACCATGGAAGGTTGTTTCTTGAGGAACCTGAAAAGGAAGGTAGATTAGTGTTGGTCTTGGAGACCTGGTAGCGTGACCGCAGAGTCCAAGGGACAACTGCTTGAGGCCGGTCACGCACGGCCTTTTTATGAAAGGATTTTTGGGTATTAGCTCTGCTCTTGAAAGCCCTTAGTGGGCACCCTTACCCAAAGAGACGGAAATCCGTGAGGTAAGCCGAGGTGTGACATTTTTAGGGTCGACCTTTTCTAACCCTTCCTTTCTAGTAAGAAGGCTGGTTGTTCGAGGGAAACACCTTACTGCTTTCACACCCCTCTGCAGTCAGCAGTACGACTTCGCCCTTAGATCTTGATTAGCTGCTTTTAGTCTCACCGTTCTCCAATCGACCTGCTTGGCATGGTAGAACCTTCAGGACAGCCAATAGAGCTCGGTTGGATCATCACGATAAGCAAGCTTGACCACCTCTTCAAGGAAGCCGCTACGATCGGGAGTGGACCTTCTACCAGGAGATCCACTGGTTGACTTAGAATATGCCGATGACATAGTTCTATTCGGTGAAGACGCTGACCAAACGCAGAGACTTCTGACTACCCAGAGCAACAATGCAAGCATGTTCGGGATGCGGTTTACCCCTCAAAATGCAAAATCGTGCTTCAAGACTGGGTTGAATCAGCACCTCAAATAGTGATAAGGAGTGAAGTTGTTGAGCGTGTTGACCGCTTCACTTATCTGGGGAGTCTCATCAGTGCCGATGGCCTGGTGCCTGATGAAATCTCTGCACAGATACAGAAGGCTCGACTGGCTCTTGCCAAATTGCGTCACGTAGGTCTTAGGCGAGACATCTATTTGCTGACTAAAGGATGAGTGTACTGCGCGGTAGTTCATTCCGTCCTACTATATGGTGTGAAACATAGGTTGCTTGTCTTCGATCATAGGTGTCTTGGAAGCACTGCTCGTATATCCTGTGGCACAAGTCCATAAAGTCATTGACAGCTGGACTGAACCATGTTGGTAGTTGTATTTTACCATAGATGGAATTAAAGCATGACTACGTTGCTACGCGTTGATTGGCTAATTTCCCATACAATCAGAGCCTGATCGATTCTCGGAGAACAGGGTAGAAAATTCTCGTATTGTTAGCTGCATGCTGACTGGCCAAATCTAATCCAATCGGTCACGTGAATTACGATCCAGAAGCTTCTCATGAAAATAATATAAAGAAACTAACGTTGTATCTATTTTCGCCTTCGCCATCACCTTCGACTTCGTATTTCCGTTTAACCTTGCTATTTGGAATATAATCTTTTCCTGTTTGACCGTGTTTTTGATTCTTTGGAACTTGTCCAGTGTATTGTGGTCAGAGAATACTAAGCAATAGGATTAAGCTGGGAATTATCTAAGCAAGCGTTACAATACATAGTAAAATTGATTTATAACACAATCAATTGGAAATGTATTCCACAAAGATAATAATCATGTAATTAAGTTAGAAAAAATTACAATGTTAACAGACTTACATTAGCGATAAAAGAGAATTTATTTAATCCAGGTTTTATCATAACAAACGATTCTTCATGATTTAACACAAAAAGTGGACATTTCGTTGTCAAAGAAGAAGTTGATGATTCTATAGTTTCATTTCCAAATATATTATGCCTTCCATTTATACTGAATGATAAACGTGATCGTTTTTTCGTGGGACAAAATGAATAACGCCTTGAAAATTGTGCTGAACTATGAATAGTTGGATCTGGAAAAGAGCAAAAAAAAAATAAACTGTAGATATGAGAACTTGAATGGTTCCATTGTAGGCCTTAATAATTGTACTTGATGAATAAGCTCTAATGTGATTTATGCATGCATCCATTCCTGATAGAATGACTTTGATCATTTTTGCGCTAATAGCATATCATCAGGTAACTTATTCAATGCACCAGTATTATTAGTTCGAGGAGCATAGAGAAAGAACTAAAAGTTATATCAATGTTACATACCACCACTATGTTTTGAACCAAATAGATATATATGTTATCATATCAACAAATAAAAAATGACGAATATTTCAAGCATAGTTAGGTTACACCGAGTGACTAATTCAAAAAGTAGAAGTAAAAAACTAGAACTGAAAACATTAATGGAATCCAATAAAGAACTGACATATAACTAAATTAAAAATTTAATACTAATTATGATTAAATCGGTTAAAAAGAAACAACTATTTAGTGTTAGAATCTGATATACCATATTATATACTATGCTATACTATACTATACTATACTATACTATACTATACAGCTAAGGTGTAAAATACGACATCGATGAAAACAAAGTTTGAAATTAACATAAAACAACAACATCAATAACAATAACAACAATAGATGGAATAGTTCACAATTGAATGATGAAGATAGGCGGACGGAGGATTGTGAAAAAAATAACTCTGACTATAGTATGAGAATGACACAAAACAATGTAATCGGATGCATTAGGACAATAGTTATTTATTCCTGTATGAATAAAATGTTTAAAAGAAAAGAGAAAAAACAAAACAAAAAACAGAATAATGATTTATGAACAACACACACATTTAGCAGCACATGAAAATGTACACACAAAAAATGTTAGAATATTCATCCAATATCCTAAGAGAATTATTGGTCAAATCGTATTGGTCGATTTCTATTAGTCAAAAATATGGTCGTTATGACTGTCAAAGTCAAATACTTCAATGTTGTCTCTTATTGGTCATCCGGACTGTCAATGTCACATCAAATTTTACTTCCTATTGGTCGTCTTAACTGTCAATACCACAGAATTCGATGCTGTTTCCTATTCGACCAAAATGTATAAATACGCATTATCTGTAACAGTTGATGACCACGACCAGAACCAGGACCCGGTCTCGGACTTCACATCAAGTCTTGTCTTCTATTACTCAATATGGGGGTTGGGATAATCGGATTTGAGTAGTATGTCGTGTCGCCGGATCCTCGCTCTCGTTTTCCGACTAGGTAAACTCGTAATAGTTCAAGTATATCAAGTTGACGTGTTTATGTGCAGGCGTACCAAAAGAGAAAAAAACAAACAAGCAAGCAAACTACTTATAATTCATGTTGATTAACTACTACTCTTTCTTCTACTCCTACTACTCCTACTACTACCACTAATAACCATTAGTTCAAAAGGGTGAATTCATTTGGGACAAATAAAATAAAAAAACTATCAAGTTATTAAGAAAAAGTTATAAATATGAGATAATTGTTTGATACAAGGAAGAAGCTCGCTGGAAATAATTACAAACTAGAAAGGCCATTGAAAAGAAAGAAAGGCAAAGTAATCACAAGCACTGAAGAACAGCGAGACAGGATGGGTGGAGCACTTAAAGGAGTTTTTGAAATGATCAGCCCAACTGACTCCAGCCAACATCGAAGCAGCACCCATGGACATCCCAGTCAATGTTGGCCCACGAACAACTGAAGAGATCAGCATGGCAATCCAAAAAATCAAGTGGTAAAGCAATAGCACCACAGTTGTCAATACAAATGTCAAGATACTTCTACAATGTGGGGCAGAAACTTGGAGAACCACGAAAGCTATCATCCACAAGATACATGTATTTATCAACAGATGTATACACTAAATACTTCGGATCCGTTGACCAACCATCATCAGAAACAACCTACTGTTGGAGACAACAAACCAAATTGCAGCAGTGGAAAAAATCAGAAAGAGGCACTGGAAGTGGATATGACACACATTGAAGAAAGCATCCAACTGCGTCACAATACATAAATGCCCTGACTTGGATTCCTCAAGGTCAGAAGGGAAAGAGGAAGACCGAAAAACACATCACCCCGGGAAATCGAGACAGATACGAGAAGAATGAACAGCAACTGAGTGGAACTGGAAAGGTAGGCCCAGATGCTGGTCGGCAACCTATGCTCCATCAGGAGTAACAGACCTAGGTAAGTAAACAAGCGACAACATAGTTTTTCATGGAAACTGTCTTTTAATGAGATGTTGTTCAGTCGATCAACCTAAAACCATCACTGATGTTTAAAGATATAACAGTATTTTAGCTATTCATTGTTTGTGTTGTCAATGTTACCAGAAATGTTAGATTCGAAGCTGCGTGGATCGGTAAATTTCAGACTAAAATAGATGTTTTTCTGCGGCAAACAAGAAAATAGTTTAAGGTTGTATTTTACCTTATAACAAACAAATTTATAGTGTCAATGAAGAAAGTGAGAAAATAAATTGTTGAAATAAGCAACATATGTAGAAACGATTTCTGTACAAAAAAAAACAGGAAACAAATATTGATCTAAATCTCTGAGCTAACCAAACGGCAGAGATCTAACAGATAGTACAACTGTCAGAGAAACGAATACATATAAATATATATAATGATAGAGCGCATATCTCCCCATATCAATTCTTTGCCTATTCTCTAATTGGTTGTTAACATTGGCAGCCAATAACTTTAGCGACATATTGATTAACACTTATAAAATACACAGACATGCTGTTCAATTATTATCTATCCATTGGTGTATTTTGTGGATTCCATTAACCGTTAGCAATACACACTAGTGTTCTGGTTTTCTAATCATTCTCAAATAAATTTATAGTAATACTAGGAGAATAAACCTGCGAAAGTACACCATTGATGAGTTGAAGTCAAAAATATTTAGTTAAAAAAAAACCCACTACATATGATTTTTATAAGAAATAAGAAAATATTCGGTCTACTCATGTGTTTCAATTGCACTAGATCTACACATTCAGCATAGTTCTCAAGTCATTTTATGGAAATTGTGTTTTACACATAATCAATCAAATAATATAAACATGTGCTTAATAACACTTCAATCATTCTCATGCTTACCGATTAAACCATCAGAAGGAATCCGTGTAATTTTGCCCTTGCGCAGCCTAGGTTGTATATGTGTCATTGAATGATTACTATCATTATCACTATCATCATTCATAACGCCTAGAGTATCTTGAGATTTCCATGCTGGTCTACTGGCCAATGATGCAGCGACATTTAACAATGAACCTAAACGTGATTGACTACTCAATTTACTAGAGATTGATTGATTTGCTTCAAATGTTAAACTTTTACTCAAAAATCCATTAGAATTATCTGGTATACTGGAATAACTTCGACAAGTTGACACAGTCACTCCGGTTGTTGGTAAATAATACTTACTGAATCGTTCTTTATCATTTTCCGAGCGAGTAGATAAATTATTACCACGTAAAATAAATTTATGGCTACCACTGTTATTATTATTATTATGATTCACATTATAATGACTAATGGCTGAACGATTATTAACATTACTATCTGGTGTGCTTTTCATAACAGAAATAGTAGGACCAGTAGATGATAAATTGATCAAATGTAATTGGCTATCTAATTGTGATATCAATAATTGATTGGTTTTATCGATTAAATGATAAGGTAGAAATTCATTTGGATTCAATAATGTTTGCCAGTCATTGTAAGAAGGTTCTGATCCACTAATGTATACTCTGTAGACAGAAAAAAAAAGTTGCCTAGTTATTATAAGCGGTTTATAATAAAATGTACAGTTTTACAATGCATACAAAATTTTTAGTAAAGCGATTAACCAAGATGCTGATTGAAAGCTTATGAGACATGACTAATCGAACGAAGTTTACACAAAAACACAAACTAATAACCACTATCAATATGGTTTACAGCCAAGGTAGAAGTTCTTAGTAGTGTTGTGCTATCTGACATGGATGTTTAATTTTGGCGCATTGATTATCGATCTGGACAAAATTATCAGCGTCTTTATACGTCGAACAGTACCATGAATCTTCTGGTTTATGTTCAAATCCCTCCTTAATCTCTTAATAACTCTCTTATCCCCGCCAAAAACCATTCTTACAAACCTTTACCACCTCGTACAACTAATACTAATGATTCGAGTTCAAGAAATGTTATTCCTGATCTCCTGTAAACACTACCTAAACTTCACGTTGGAGCTTTTAATGTTTGAACCGAATAGGAAAACAGGCATCTGATGTGTACTTGGCCATCAAGCGTAGACAAAGAGGCACAGCCTGTTGACTACTAAATATGTGATTTCATTCCTTTTATTGATTTCCACTCTAGACTCACTGAGTGTGACTCCTTGTTACTGTGTCGAAAAAATATTGTTTATTGCTTACTCTGGTCCTTGTTTTTGGTCTTGAATCGTGAATCTGGTTTAATGTGATGTAGTTTCTGTGTGGTTTACTGTTTGAGTATCCGACTTGGTGGTAGTATAAACTTTATTACCCATTTAGTCTGTGTATAAAACAAGGATACGTAATATATTGAACACTTCCGTAATATCAACTTCTTTAGCTAGGACTTTAAAACCTTGAGTCATCGATGCATACCGCCCCTATGAGAAGCACATTCAAGATCCATATATAGTCATTCACTTAACCCTATGCTGTCACAATAAAGAACCAGCACAATTTACCCATTGTGTATCTGGAGACACCACTACTATTTTTGTGGCCTCGTTGGTGTGTTAACAGCATTGAGTTCGAAAGTGGAACCGGCTATCCAAAATTATCGTAACTTAAACGTACTCTAAGTTTTCTATCCTAAACTTAGTTTGGACATAATCGTATTTTTCTAATTGTTTGCGCATAGTGGTCTTGCTGAGTACATATTTATTAATGTGCCCTTTACCGTTACTCGGATCGGAGAAAAATCGAGTATTGTTCCAGTCGATTAGTCTTTTCGCTAGCTAGTCTATTCGGAGATAGAATTGCTTTCTTCAATTTACCCAAAGCTGTCACAACTAGACTTACGCACTGCTAGCCTCAAGGGTAGCTAAACAGCCGATCACGTCAAAGCGTTAAAATAAATATAGACGAAACTATCCTACGTATTCCAGGTAGATGGTTCAAGCGCGTAACAATCTCCAAGAGATATAAACGACTAATTAATTTAAGTCCTTTGACTCAGAGAGGTTGAAAAGATTACAGACAATGTAAAGAGAGGGAGAGCAGCAGATCGTGATGGGTAAAGCTCTGGAAATTTTTAGGATGGAAGGCGAGTTTTAGAAGTTAGATTAACTGAGATCTCAGCTAGAATCTGTGGACTGTTCTCAGTTAATAACCGTCCCAATCTATAACAAAGGACAAGGGTCCTCTTGTTACAACCAAAGAAGAATCAGTTTAACTAATATGGTGTCTAAAACATTAGCCTCGATAATACATAAACGCCTAACTAGAGCTCGTGAGGAGTACTCGAAAAAACCTGACTGGTTTCAGACCTCGATATTAATGTATAGACCGAATATTCACAATTTATTAGGTCCTAGAACACAGTTACATTTAAACGTTCCACAATAGTTGCATTCCTAGACCTTAACGCAGAATTTGACTATGCAGATCGTGAGGTTCAATGGCAGAGTTTGTCATTGAAAGGAGTACTGAAGAAGTATATAACCCTTGTACAGGGTATCCATTTGGGTATTACTGGCCGAGTTAGAGCTTATGACGAAATGTCATCGGCATTGATTACCTCGAGTGGTGTTCGTCATAGTTGTTAACTTTCTCCATTCTAGTTTAACTTTATCATAGACATGCTTTCAGAAATGGCACTTTCATAGTCTGTTTTTTAGGAGTTAAACTTCTAGCGGGAGATTGACTAGCTGACCTAAAATATGCAGATGACACAACTCTGATGAAGACCTTGGCAAAGTGTAGAGTCCTCTGATTACCTTAAGCAGCAATACAAACATGTCCGATATGTGATTTTCCTCCTCAAAATGCAAAATGTTGATCTAGGATTAGCTTGCATCGGCCCCTGAACAGGTAATAAGGAGTGAAGAAGTTGAACGTTTCGACCACCTCACTTTTCATGGAATTCGCATCGGCCTTGATGCTTTGGTGGCTGACGAAATCTCAACGTGGACAAAGAAGATTCGACGGGCTTACGTCACTTATGGTGTAGGTGAGATGTCTGTCTGCTAATCAAATGATGAGACTCCTGCGTACACATTCGCTCCGTCCTATTATACGGGTGTGAAAGATGGCCAGTAAGAGTTGAGGATATCTGTAGGCTATTAGTATTCCACCATCAGTGTCTTAGAAGCATTGCTCATATATCCCGGGACAATCGAGTAAGCCATGCTGGTTTTAGGAAGATGGTACTAGATAAGGGTGGCAGATCAGTTGGTGAAGTAGTGAATCTTTACTAAATTACGTGTTGGGATATTTGTCATGTATGTCCAATCATCGCCTACCTCGAAGAGGCCAAATAAGCTTCCTAAATCTTTACCGAGATTTCGTCCGACACAAACACTTGGCAACGGTGTTTTTGTGTTTTAAAAGTGATTTTAAAGAAAGTGAAAAGGTTAATTTATAGAACAAATAAACAAATAACTTACGATGCTTTAAATGTTCTATCTGAATTAGACTCCAATTTAATAAAAATCAATTGATAACCACAACTACATACACCTTCTAATTCAACAGATTTTAAATTAAACAATGGTGACATTTGATAAGGAGGACTCAAAACAATTTGTTGATGATATGCTAACAAAGAATTATGAAATTCAACAGCTTCTGTCCACCAGTAATTTGGATTAATAGCATCACCAAATGTTGGTATCGATAATATTTGTGTAAAATTCATTGTTTGATACCAAAATTGAATTTTATTGTATACATGAGTAGCAGCTATACGTAATACAGAGTGTTTTGTTCCAGCTAAGATGAAACAGCATTGAATATATCTAGGGTAAAGTAAGAAAATCATTAAAATTGATATGATTATATGGAAAATTTTCCTATTTTATTCATTTGAAAGAAACATTAAGAAGGTAACACTTTTAATTTAATCTATTTGGTACTTTTTTTTCTACAAAACACTATACAATGTGTTTAAGAAAGGCGACAATTACTTACACTAACTAACTATGTAATAAATATGATTAAATTTTGTTTGGCCATTTACATTTGTTTAATAACATGCTTTTTAACGATTATCATTATTATTATTATTAATCTCAACATTGTGTTTTGTATTCTGAAAACATTTTTAGACATTTCACTGTTAAATCATACAATGATTGATTCCTGGTTTTCAATTGATACATTACAGCTAAGAACACGGATATATTTGATGTTTATGAATTTATTAACTTATTAATAATCAGGATATTTGAGCATGAACCACGTCTCTACGAGTGACACAGCTAGCTAATCATACTGATGGAGTGAGTCCAAGTGTAGGATTTAGTGGTTGAAAGTCGGACCACTTTGACCACGAAGCCACTGATCAAATAAAATATAAATAATAGCTGAGTTAATAATAGCAAGAGTTAAGAAATATCACATGTCTGTGCAAAAAACCAGGCAGCTCACATACTTGTCTCAGATTTAAATGGTAGGTGAAAATGTATAAATAAGGCTCTGGCTATTGGAAAAAATTCAATCATTCACAAATTCAGAGTTAGCAGACAACCTTATCAACATTATCTAGTTCAAAGCAGAAACAACGTATAAATAAATATTCATGGTGTATACATTATTATTCACCATTGTCAAATAAAGCTTTGTAGTAAATTCTTAGTCTTTCCATCCTCATTGATGATTGAGTAAACACATCAGAAGCAATGCCTCCTGTTAGTAAATAAGATATAGCAGGTTGTACAATAACATACAGTATGAGATCTAACAATACTATCCAAAATAATAGAAATGGAGTACATGGCGGATAACGTTGTTACATTGTATATAAATAGTATTTGTTTTGTTTGACATGTAATTTGCAATGTTCCCAATGTAAAACAAAAATAAGATATATAAAACAAACGGAACATGATTTTTACCAAATGATAACTATGAACGTAACTTATATCATTATTAGTATGAGTTTGAATTATTGCGTTATTTATATTCAGGACCAATACTTGAGAGATGATTGATATGATATAATCAATTTGGCATAAGTTCTTGTTCACAATGGACGGACTGTAGCTAACGTTACGGACATGGGGATTCGAAAAATATATCTAACTAGAGAGTTTCAAAAAAGGCAAAATGCAAGTCTTGAATTCCCGACCATAGCTTCTACCTTGATGTGGTGGTCAAACACGACTATCATGATGACCCAACCATCATATATTAGCTAGAACATGCCAGACAGGTTGGTTGGAGAACGGCAAGACTAAAAGCAACAACTTGAGGTCTGAGGACCAAATCATATTGCTAACCGTAGAGCAGTTTGACAACAGTAAGGTGTTTCTCTCGGATAACCAGCGATGCTGCCTTCTCACAACGGAAGGGACGTGTTAGTAAACATCAACACTAAAAATATCACGACTGGCTTTCACTTATAGATTTCCATCAACGGGGCTAAGGTCCTTTGAAGTGTACAGTTGATACATTAGAAACTTGCCACGGAAAGGCCGTGCGCAACCGACCTCTAGCAGATGTCTCTTGGACACTGTGGTCATTCTCCTAAATCACTAAGACCAACATTTACCCAACTTATTTCTCACGTTCATGGAGAAATACCCTTCCATGGTATGGGTAGTCGGGAAGTAACATCCACCCTCATACTCGGAACAGCGCACGAGATCAATCTGGTCATAATAAAATCCTTCCTATACCTCTTAATAACTCTCTCATCTTCACGACTAATACTTCTTACATTTCTTAATCACCTCATGCCGCTAATGCAAACGATTTGAGTATATGAAATGTTATAACTCGTCTTCTGAAACCACGCTCCAAACTACATATTGCAGCTTTTAATAACCGAACCTTGTGCCGAAAGGAAAACAGGCTTCTTTAGCTAGGATTGTAGAATCTCGCGCGATTGATGTTTCCCGCAGCTCCAAACCGCGCATACAGGATTTGAGGAAATTCATTCATTTGAACTCACCTTGTCAATTTAAAGAACCGTCGCGATTTGTGCTTCGCATATCTGGAAGTCCTGCTGCTGCTTTTCGTGAACTAATAGGTGTAGGTATAGCTATGGGTTCTAAAGCAGAACTAGCTCCCTTACACTAGATACAAATGCACAGTCGTTTGTGTGCTATCTGATTACACGGGACAGTACGAACTCGGAAAGATGGGGATACTCGACTTTACCTCTTCGACTGCTGCATCGAAGCTCAAATAACTTATTTCTTGCTAATACCGACTTGAAGCATAAGGAACAACATTGTCCGATATGGCGACCCCCAATGTCAACTAAAAACAAGACCAATCCATCATTTCCTGTCATACTGAATGGCGAGTTAATATAAGTCCTCTAATATTTAATGAGGTTGAAAAGGCCATAGGAAATCTAAAGAGAGGGAGAGAAGAATGCCAGGCAGATTAACCGTTAGCAAACTTTGTCACTGACATGCTCATCGTCGAACCGTCCAGGGGTTAGCCTGCAAACAGGAGCTTCACTTGGTGACATGAAATGTGCATATGATAACTTTAATGATGACGCTGAAAAAGTGCAAACTGTTTTGACTACCTTAACTTAAGCAACAATGCAGGTATGTTCGGGATGCGATCCTTCCCCCCCCCAATTGCAAAATGTTGCTTCAGGATTGACTTGCGTCAGCAACTAAACTAGTGGAAAGTGAAGTAGTTGGGCGTGCTGACCACTTCACTTATCTTGCGAGTCTCATCAATGTTGATGGCCTGGTGCCTGATGAGATCTCAACACGGATACAAAAGGTTCAACTGGCTTTTGCCAGCTTGCGTCACTTATGATGTAGGCGAGATATCCCTGTACCTCACATCGGTTCGCTCCGTCCTACTCTGCAGCTGTGAAACATGGCCAGTACGAATCGAGGATATTTGTAGGTTACTGGTTTTCTATCACAGGTGTCTCTGAAGCACTGCTCGCATTTCCTGGGACTATCGAGTAAGCGATTCTGGTGTTACGGAACGGGAACTAAGTAAGGATGCGAGACGAGCGATGTTTTGTGGTGTAGGAGTAGGCTGAAGGAAAAGCGGCGGATGACGAAACCAAAACGTGACACAAAACCATGAATCATTGACCAATGGATTGAGTGATGTAACTAGGTGTGGAGTACCTGTTGGGGTCCGCGATACAATAGTAACCGATGGTTGGAGACTGAATGACATGGCTCAAAATCGTTTGCAATAGCGCACGTGCATTTATTCTTAGTCTTCTCAAAAATTCTAGTCTTTTAAATTCCTCATAACCTCTATCTTTCTCTCTTTTCCAAAAATTTATTTCATTGGAATATATTGCCTGAACAATATCTTCGAACCATAATCTCTCCGATTACCGCTAATACTTCCACTACGTCTACCACTGGGATTTCAATAGACAATTGCAAATGTGTTACGGAGTTTTACATTGTTACTGATTGACTGATTGATAAGTCTTGAATTTCATCGCCAGCAACAATTTAAGAGTACATAAACACAATTATCAAGAAATATATTATGTTAATGAATTATGCGCAAACGAAGAAGAACACACTTAACATGTTCACTTACTTTCGGGCAATTTCACAATCACTTTTTGTTTCAAAATGCTTCCTCGTACATAAGGAATGTAAGCACCATGCCAAGCTTATACGTGTACTTGTTATTGGACCAATCCACGAAGATTCATTATAATAATTTATTATTGACTCATATAACCATGAGGCTGATTCGTGAGCTCCTTGTGAACTAAATAATCAATAGAAATTTGAAAAATAAGGGATAATAAGGTTAAATACTGACTCAGTGGTATAAACGTTAAAGGGACACTGTTAGACGTAAGTTCTTGAGCTTGATGACCACTGGAATCATGAATGACTACTGTTGAAGAGCCCAGAAATATGATCAAACGGCACATCTGTCGAATATTTACCAGTTTTCAATGATTGTTTAAGATTAGTCTATGGTTAAAACTATGGTAGTATGATTTTTATATGCAGCCAAAGAACACCACAAAATAGAAATCATCGAGAAAAAAAAGCTAAACGTAAAGATACTGTTTTATGGACAAATAGTAATGCCTAAAAAGGATTGACATAACCCTCAAAAGTCGATGAACTAATTCCTTCCAATCAATAATAGAGTCTATGTAACCGATCAAAAGAAAGAATTAAAATCAGTAGTTGGTGTTTACAGTGTTCCGAAAAGTGCAGATTGCTGTGCGAAGTTGAAAGCTTAAGTAGAAACAACATGGTATCTAGGAGAGTGAGGCTATTGACAGTTGTACATTTCACAGTTCAAATTACCACTATTCACAACAACAAAAGCGTAGAAATAAACAACATAACCAAAGAGGTGACAGTAAAGCAAAGGTGAAGAACTGCAATGTAAAGGAGGTGAAATGCTAAGGAGTCGATGGTGAATAAGTGTACGTATAGTGTCTGTCTATTGCACGATCGTAGCTTCTACCTCGAAGTCATGGTAGGGATTGTCTATCGTGATGACCAAACCAGGGTATATTAGCTGGGTCCTACCACGCCAGGTAGGCCGACTGCAGAACGGTGAGATTAAATCAGCAACTTTAGGTCCACGGGCGAAGTCTTACTGTTGAGTGTAGAAGTGTGTGACAGCAGTATAATATTTCCCTCGGCAAACCAGCACCCGGCAGAGACCGTAGCCTTTTCACAAAGAAGGAGGAGTTTAGAAAAGGTCGATCCTAAAAATGTCACACCACACCTTACCTCAAGGATTTCCGTCTACGGCGGTAGGGCCACTTAAAGAGCGGAGCAAACACTTTACAAACTTCTCATAAAATGGTCATGCATGGCTAGCCTCAAGCAGATGTCCCTTGGGCTCTGCGGTCACACATTCAGGTTGCTTAGACCAACCCTAGTTCGATTTCCTTTACAGGTTCCTCAAGAAATACCCTTGTACGGTGTGGGCAATCAACTATGGCTAACACTTTTCGCATCTCTCTGTCGACCCGCGCCGCAGATGCAAACGTTTCGAGTTCACGAAACGTTATTGCTGTGGTAGGTGTCGACTACCTGGTTGGGGTCCGCGGGATGACAGTAATCGATGGTTAGAGACCCTGAATGAAATCGCTCAAAATCCTTTGCAACGGCGCAAGTGCATTCATTCTTTATGTTCTCTCAAGCAAGATTCTCTGATACAACACAACACGCACCGACGGATGCAGATGTAAAAACCTCTGCATATCTAGGCAGCGACAATGACGAGCAGGATGGATCCGATGCTGATGTGAAGGAGCGCATCGGCAAAGCAAGAACAGCATTTCTACAATTAAACAACATCTGGAACTCAAAACACCTGTCAACAAACACCAAAGTCAGAATTTTCAATACAAACCTATGCTCCATCAGGAGTAACAGGCCTAAGTAAGTAAGTTTGGTTCTGTAAGCATGTAGGTAGCCGGTATATCATACATAATGCTTAGTAAAAGAATTCAAGACGAAGTCTTCATTTTAAATCTTTTATAAACCAACTTCTAACAAATTAAAGCGATCGAGAAAATGAATATAAAATAGCACTAACATACATGAACTTACAATAAGAAGTCAGCCAAATCATAAACAACTTCATAAGCTCGTTTAGGAGTATGTGTCAGTTTTAAAAAACCAATTAACGTCTGTCCAATTGCAGTAAAAACTTGTGAATAAATTATTGACGAAGTAAATATCGAGATTAGGTGATTATGAGCGAATAGAACAGAGTGATCTTGTTGTGGTATTCTCCTGTCTTCCCAACTTGTTCTTAATTCTAGCTGACTTACAACAACATTCTGTTGTTTAACAGAATTTTCAACATGCTGATTGATGAAACTATTAGATATTGTTTTATTTAATAATGAATATCGTTCACAATGAATAGGTAATCTAGATTGTATACACCATAAACCAATCAGTTGTCCAATTTGTTTTAAATAATTAAATACAATTAACCATAATTCAATTGCATAGCTTTCTGACCAAAAATTCTCATTTTCATGCATTTTAATTGATGAAAGTTTATGCGTTTTCGGTGATTTAAATGATATTTCTGTTGAACTGATAACACTGGTGGATGATACAAAAGAATGCTTTCCTAATAATTGATGCGGATAACAATGAAAATGTGTGAAAATCTTATCCACTAAATGACTCATATACCAAATTGTAACATTTAAATCTTTGTTTGCATCAATAAATACACTTTGTGTAGTTGTTGTTGTAATCGGTGTTAGAGATGATGGTGAATGTGTAGATGATGACGATGATGATGATGATATTTTTGAAATGTGAGTAAAATTTATATTCTCTAAAATATTATTACATGAAAAAGCTGTATCCAATAATTCAATAACGGATTTATTAACATCATCCATTGAACGATCTGAATCTAGTCGCATATTTGTCAGTGTATTTAAACAAATACATAGAATCCAAAGAGCGCGAAATAAATGATCCGTTTGAATCTACTTTTCAAAAGTAAACAATATTTTTAATTTGAAAAAAAAGAAATAACTGAAAAAAAGTTTTTATGAAAACAATTTTATTATCATTACTGCTGGTTTACTACTACTACATGTTTTGATCAAAATGAATTCATATCAAACAAACAAAAAAAAGTAAGAAAAAATGTGTTCGTGGTGGTGTTTCGTTCTCTGAGCCGGTTGTTTTGGTTGTGGAGCTTTCATCGTTCTTCTGAACAACATCATCAGCACAAACTACAGATAGAAGTGAAATATTCGAATTTCTTCACATATGACCTGTGGGTTGTCTGTTAACCTCGATCTTGATTGGTTGCTGTTGTCTTTTGACCTGTCGTTGTTTGCAACTTTGTTTTGATTGCACCCGCCTTTTGATCTGTTTCTTGATCCTATGATTTTTCTGATTAGTTGATAAATTGGGTCAATGTTGATGTGTTTGTTGATTGCTGATTGGTCTGACTGCTAAGCTTCTAAAAATTCTCTAGTGTTCTTTGTGTTCCCCCTATCCAGTATTTCCACATTGTTCCAATCGAATGTATGTCCACAATTCTCCATGTGTATTGATATAAGTGAAGCGTTGTCGTGGCGTTTGACTGCTAATTGATGTTCACGTAAACGGAGCTGAAGAGGTCGTCCACTTTGTCCTATGTAGTGTTTTTCACAATTTGAGCAATTTATTTTGTAGATGATATTTGGCTTTTCTTCCGTTGTCATTTTGTCCTTTGGTCTACATAGGATTGATTGAAGTAATTCTGTTGGTTTGTGTGCCACACCTATTCCAAATGGTTTCAGTAGTCGTGCTGCATGCTCTGATATGTCGTTGATGTATGGTAGGATGATGCGTTTATTTGTTTCTGTGCTTGATTTCGCTTCTGATGATGGTTTCGGTTGATGTTTTTTGATGAAGTTGCGTGGATAGCCGTTCTTTTGGAAGATAGTCATCAGGTGTTTTTCCTCGTTTTTTAATGTTTCGTATGTGCTGCAGTGTGTCTTTGCTCTCTTGAACAAAGTTTGTATGCAGTTGACCTTGACCAATCAAGATCGAGGTTAGCAGAACAAGATACAGGGTCAAACGTGGAGAAATTCGAATGCTTCACTTCGATCTGAAGTTTGTGCTGATGATGTTGTTCAGAAGAACAATGAAAGCTCCACAACCAAAACAACCAGCTCAGAGAACGAAACACCACCACAATTATCCACCTGAGCTACAAGTTTTCTCCACCATCTCAAAAATGAGTTCGTTGAAGATACCAGGTGTAATGAAGATGATTTTCCTGTTTCACTACCAATACCGGTGAGAAACTTTATGACAACAATCAAACGTGACACCAAATTATTATCCGACTATTATTAGGAAATTAATATGGTAATTGTCAGAGGTAGTAAAGGAGGAAACTTTGAACCTATGTTTCGCTATTGATGATATTCTTTAGTAAGGTGTGCGTACAATGTTGAAGGGTTGGAATCTGCCTTACCCAGTCTCATAGTCCGAGATATTAACACTAAGTTACACGGGGAACAACTTGGCAACCCGATCAGCCCTCCAGTAATAAACAAATATGACATTTGTTACTAATTAGTTATCAACTTATCGTTGAAATGAAGATGTGAGTATTATTTCAATAACTTAATTAAGCTTTTACTGAGAGTTTTGCGATTGTACTAAATGTGAATAACTAGCAAGAAAAACTTAAACATTCGTGACAGAGATCGGATTTTAGGCAGAAAATATATCTTCATGTAGTTGCATTGGTTTATTACATTTGTGAAAATTAAATATTGTATGTATACAATTTGTTGCATTGCATTTTTCTTAAACGTTATTTCGTCCGTATCAAATATATGTATACAATCAGAAGCCCTATAACATTATTTCCAATTACCCATTTGTTAAGTTCTTTGCATTTTTACGGACAGGAAATTCGATGTAACGCCAGACATGCCTACCAATACAATTCCATATAGTTTAACATAGATTAACAACCGTTTTATGCTAGACTTTCCATGTGATCAATATTTAGAAACAATTATTATAACTGAGTGGGAAGCTTTCTTGCCAGAAGCTAGATATTTATGTGGGTTAATCAAGTGTATATGTACATCTATACAGGTAGTTGAACTAATTCGGACAAGGATATATAGGTGGTGACCATGTGTTAGTGGATAATGCACTTACAATAACTAATGCACCTCTGATTTTCATCAATCTATTTATATATATATCAGAAATTACTACGTTGTTGAGACCATAATTTACTTACGTCTAATATGTTTATTTCAGTTAATGTGGAACAGATGGTATGATAAGCATGTGCGGGAAATTCATTTAACCGATCACATATACACAGTATAGATGCTTGTCTGGATAATAGGTAATTTTTCAATTCAAATAATGTAGCATTACGATCTTTTAAACGATTGGACGGTCTTATTTCTGTATTAGTCACATTTAGAGAATAATCACAGATGTAATGTGATGGTTCATCTGACGATGAAAACTGTATTATTCGATCTAGCCATTGAGGACGTTTAGATCCTAAATAGAATAAAAAAAGATGCTATTGAAAGTGAAGTGTTATAAGATTATGACATTCAATGCTCAGTTAAATGGGTTAACAATAAAAAAACCATTATTAACTCAGTGGATTGAAGTTACTTGCAACTTCTTAAATGATCACTAAATATTTTGTATCCCAATCATAAAGAGTTACCTCGACGTCGTCGTCGAGGTTGTCTATCGTGATGACCAACCAAGGTAAATTTGCCAGACCATAGGCACTGGTGAGGCTCCACAGATAAGTGAAGCGGTCTACACGTTCGACTACTTCACTCCTTATCACTAGTTCAGGTGCCCACTCAACCCAATCTTGAAGCAAAATTTTGCATTTCGAGTGGGAAAACCGCATCCCAAACATGCTTGCATTGTTGCTCTGGGTAGTCAGATGACTCTGCATTTTGTCAGCGTCTTCACCAAATGAGACCACGTCATCAGCATATTGTAAGTCCGTAAGCGTGGCTCCTGGCAGAAGGTCCACTCCTGAAAACTCAGACTCTAAAAGCATTTCTACGACAAAGTTAAACAAGAATGAGGAGAGTGGACAGCCCTGATGGACATCACTTGACAGTTCGCCATAGGTTCTCACCACACCAGTGGTGTTCCATTAAAGAGCTTGTTAATGTACTTCTCTGATACACCTTTTAACGACAGACAGTGCCACAGAATCTCACGATCGATCGAGTTAAATGCCGCCTTAAGGTGGAAAAATACTACTATAGTGGGACGTCTGAAGGTGTGTCTTTGTTCTAGGTTCTGATGTAGTATGAATATTTGGTCTATAGATCCACGTCCAGGTCGAAAACCAGAATGGTTTTTCTAGTCTGCTCTTTACGAGATCTAAATAGGCGTCTAAGTATAATCGAGGCTAACAATTTAGAAACTATATTAGTTAGGCTGATTCCCCTGTGATTGTCACAAGAGGACTTTTGTCCTTTCTAGTAAATTGCGACAATCAGCGACTGAGACCAGTCAGATGGTATTACGCTCAGTTCCCAGATTCTACTCAAGATCTCGGTCAATCTAACTATTAAAACTGGGCCACCATCCTCAAAAATATCAGGAGTCAATCTATCAAAACCGGCTGCTATCCCTCACTTCAGATTTGCTATCGCTTCCTCAACTTCTTAAAGACTCGAAGGACGTATATTGATTTGCCTTTCAGGATGACCGAAGATCGCGAGTAACCGAAGTGTAGCTGAAAGCCAATTGAACTGATTCCTGAAGTGTTCTTCCCGTCGATCCAATCTACTGGATCCTTTTCTGAGATAGTCTCACTTACAATCGGATTCCTGATACCAGTTTCCTTGATAATTCGGAACAACTCTCTGCTGTTGCCTATCGCCACTGTCTTTTCTATCGCTCTTGCTTTCGCTGCCCACCACAGTTCGCGGTCGTTGCGTAGACTTTTTATCAGCCTGCGCTTAAGCTAACTTCGTTCTTCATCATGTTCAGGGGCAGTTGGGATGAGTTCACGAGCGTCTATCAGTTCGGTGGATGCTATTGAGATCCACGCCTTCTCCCGAGATTCTAGAGTCCTAGCTAAGGATGGCTGTTGCCCTACCAGACACAATGTTCGGACATTAAATGCTCCAACATGTAATTTAGAACTGGGTTTCGGGAGAGCGGGAAAAACGTTTTGTGAACTCGCATCGTTTGCATTAGCGATGCAGTGAGATAAAGGAATGTGAGAAGAGTTAGTCGTGGAGATAAAAGTGATATTAAGGGGAGTAGGAAGGATTTGTTTGTGACCAATTTGGTCTCGCGTGCTGTTACTGGTATGAGGGCAGATATTACTTCTCGAGTGCCCGCACCGTTGAAGGGTGCTTCTTGAGAAACCTGAAAAGGAAGGTCGGTTAATGTTGGTCTTAACGACCTGGAAGAGTGACTGCAGAGTCTAAGGGACAACTGCTTGGTGCCGGTCACGCACGACGTTTTTATGGGAGGTTTTTATTAGAAGTTCTTACCTCCGGAGACGGAAATCCGAGAGGTAAGGTGAGGTGTGACATTTTTACGGTCGATCATTTATTTAGCAGTGTTTAAATCTTATGTATAAATTTGATTAAATATGCTATCAGAATCAGATCATTTGACAGATATGATAACAATACATGTATCAGTAAAAATCATAACATTGCTTCATTATTCTTTTGATAAGCATCTAACTAAAAAAAATACTGAAAAATTAATGAAAATTTAAAAAAAAAAAAAAAACTACCTACCTTGTTGTATGGACGCTTGAATACAGCTAGAAAGTAATTCAGTTGCTTCATCATACTCATGTAAAGCATGTTCATGTCCACCGAGAAACAAGTACATATGCGCTAATTCTTCCTGTATAATTGACAAACAATATGAAAAATACATACATACACTGAAACATAAATTGATATCATCTGTATAATTGACGAAAATTACTAGTTATTATCATCATTAGACATGATCGCTCTCACGTAAATCTACTAATTTCAAATACAATCTTATCGGACATTAGATTTATGCACTATGACACAATCGATATCTGGAGATTAGAAAGATAATTTAAAAAGGTTTTAACAACAATACTAACCATCTATAAAAAAAAAAGCACAAAAATATTTCAATTGAACTAATCTTTTTGAGTTATCTTTCTTTATTTTCTTTATTTTATTTCACTAGATTCTACTTCTTGAATAATATCTTCCAAACCTAATCTCTCCGACTACTGCTAATACCTTCACTACCTCTACCACTATGGGATTTGAATTGACAATTACATCTCTGTGCTTATGTGATATGGCAACATGAACTGATGTACGTACGTACGTACGTACGTTGCTATTGATTGATTGATTGAGTTATCCAAGCATAGTGATGAGTACTAACAAGGATAAAGGTACAAGAAGCATTTAGTTATCGGAAACATCCATATTTATTTATTGAATAAATTAATAGAAAATAACAACTATGTAAAATGGAAATAGAAATGTAAAGATACGTAGAAACATTGGGTAAAACAATACTATGCTGACGAGTTTAAGCTAGCTACTCAAACTGAGGATAGCAGCTTTTGGAATTTCGTACGAAGTACAAAACACAGTTACCGATGACTTTGATGAAACTCTTATCCGCAAAGGTAAAAACACAGAAAGGGATTGAGTGTGTAATAGTTCCATTTGTTTAGTTGACGTTTTTCCATGATATAGGATGCAGCATTGCAGAAATGTTATTTCGTTTCCAAATAGAGTAGTTTCAATTCTCCTGTCTATTATTAGGAAGTATATCTAGCCTCAGAACAATGAATAACACGAACTATCAAAAGGCTTATATAGATTTTTTTGAGAGAGAGGGTTATATTCATGGAGTTATTGATCACAAGCGACATTTAGTTGACATGTCGGCAAGCTTGCACACCAATAACGTTGAAGCTATGTGGGCACAAATAAAATCCCACTTTCGACCGTATTAAGGCTCCACAGGAAAGTTATTATGAAGTCATAGAAACGAATTCTGTTACCATATTTTTACGAATTCAATCCTTATGAACCTGTTGTTAACCTAATCAAATTCTTTTAAGAAAATCTATAAGTATTTTAATATTTCTGATTTTTTGTGGTAAGTACTTAATTCATATCCCCTAAATTGTGATTAGCGAGTAATGAATGCCTCTCAAAGTGCTATTTATTCAATCCACTTTTACGTTTCTACTTCATACCTTTTTTATGGATAAGAGTTTCATCAAAGTCAGCACGACCACATCGTCTTCGAAATCAGTCGAAACAGAAAATATAGTCAACCCCATTACTTTGAGTAATAAGCTATCGGTAACTGTGTTTTGTACTTCGTACGAAATTCCAAAAGCCGCTATCCTCAGTTTGAGTAGCTGGCTTAAACTCGTCAGCATAGTATAGTTTTACAAAAATTTATGTTACCTTTCTGTCTAAGTACTCAAAATAATCCCATGTAAGACTTGAACATGAACTAGCCAGCATTTGCAAGTGTGCATCATAATCAACAATAATTGACATACAAGCTGATATGATAGCTTTACGAACAAGATAAGTTAACTGATTCCATGACTCATTGAATAGTTTTTCTTCAACTGAGTTAGGTGCTGGTACTTCTAGAAATTGTCTTTAAAATATAAAAGATAGAAATTGTTAGTGGAGCAAACCATATAAACGTAAGTTTATTATGATAAAGTAATTATTAAGACATTAAATTAAGTAACACTAAGTTTAGCTGAGGTAACGAATTCCAAAAATAATTATATTCTTTGGACTAAAAATAGCAATTAACTCAGTTTACAAACGAAGCAGAATAGTGACTGAGGAAAGCACTAAGCAAATAGGGTCATCAGTCGATAGAATACAGCTGAACAGAATCGTTTGAATCATTATGTGGGTTGGAATAAGACTGCTCTCAAGATATTTACCTTACGTTTCACTACGTCCATATAAACATAATTTATCGATGATTGATTTACTCGATACGAAAAACGTAAACGGTGGTGTGTGCGACGGTGTTGATAAAGAAATTGTTAGGGGAACATAGATGAATTAAAGCATAACTACGTTGCTGAGCGCTGATTGGCTAATTTCCTATCCAATCAGCGCCTGATCGAATCTTGGAGAACAGGGTAGAAGATTCTCGTACTGTTAGTTGCGTGCTGATTGGTTAAATCTAATCCAGTCGATCACGTGAATTTCTATCCAGAAGCTTCTCATGTAAATGCTATAAATAGATTAACGTTGTATCTATTTTTGGCCTTCTTCGCCTTTGCCTTTGCCTTCGCCATCACCTTTGGCTTCTTATTTCCATCTAACCTTGCTATTTGGAATATAATCTTTTCCTGTTCAACCGTGTTTTTGATTCTTGGGAACGTGTCCAGTGTATTGTGGTCAGAGAATACTAAGCAATAGGATTTAGCTGGGAATTATCTAAGCAAGCGTTACAACAGAAATCCTTATAACTCAAGTTGAAGATCCAAGGGAAATCGAGACTCGAGATAAGTAAGCGTTGACTTACACACCTACTTAGTAGATTTGAAGTGATGGCACTGATAACTTCACCGCATAGGATTCATTCGCAAGAGATAAGGTAGACCAATGATGTATGGGAAATAACGCAAATGCTTTAGTATATTCGGAACCCAATTAGCAGTGAAACCTAGGATGAGCGTTCCGTCCTACTCCAACAAAGGAAATTTCAAGGTAATCTGCTTAGAATGTGCGTATGGGGATAGCGATCGATTGACCTCAATCCTAAAATTCAACAACGTGAACTTTTGGTACGGTTGTGTCTGAGGTTATTGTATGGATTATTAAATATCTAAGTTAATTTCTTTGTATTCCTCTACTTGTGAGCTTTTTTGACACGGAAATTATTGTTGTGTTTTATTTTTTCTAAATTATAGTCAGTTTATTACAGATCTATCATTCAGTCCTCATTGACTTACAGTGTAATTATGCCCATACTGTGATTTCTTAATTCTATTTGATGTGATCGGGTTTTCGCTTTATGCTATTGTACAAGTGATCCATAGATCCCAAATGTATTAATAGATGCCGTATGCTTGATGAGTTTTTCACTATTCTGGCTATCGGGTGAACGGGTGTGAGAAACTGCACTCTGAACCAACAATCATTTAGTGTTAATCTTGGCTGTTATCCAACGCTTAGCGTGTCACTGGTTAACCGAAGGTCATTGGTACTCGATAGTCTATGAGAGTTAATCAATACTCGGATTACACTAATACAACTGCTCTCCTGTCTGACGGTTTGATCGTACGGGTCCCAAATAACTAAACGCGAAAATCTATTTGTTTTCACAGACACATCAACACAAACGATTTTGTATCTTTTTGGAGACTACAGTACCGAAAAATTACTTGTATCTATGGCTGTACTCCGAATGTGAAACAACTGTCCAGTTATCGAACTTTTGTACATTACTATAATCATATAACTAGACAGAAAATGGAATTACTACCTCTAAAACTATGAGATTCTAACTGACGATTCCATTTCTCTGTGCTAATTTGGTATGGCAACTAGAAATGATGTAAGTACGTACCAATTCTTAGTTATAGCTGACTGACTGATGGACTGAAAATAGAATACACATTTGAAAAGTATACTTCAAGATGAGATATGTACATAGTATGAACTACGGCACAACTTTACGGTTTCAGAATATCGAGTGAATTTCTATAACGAATGATATTGCAGTTGTGATTTAATAGGAATCAGGGTTCAAATAACTGTAAGTTAACCTGACATAAAGAGGAATCACAGGGTATGGTATAATTGATGAGCTTTAGTAGTGAATAAGACACGCAACATTTTGGTTTGATATATGTTTGTCTCTTTGAAATCAGCATATTGAGTAATCCGATACAACACACACCGAATAACAAAAAAAGATTATTCGGAAGATTTACCTGTCCCCTGTGCGAACATTAAAATCATTTTTAATTTTATCAAGCACATTCGATTTTTGTAGTATTTTTGGTGTATTATATTGAGGATCAGAATTAACCATAATAATTAACCAGTCAAATACATTCCTGGCACGTAAATGACCTAACCAACTACCAATAGCATTTCGTCCACCATTTGATGTATAATGAGAAACATCCTAAAACATTTAACAAAAAATTAAAAAGAAACTAAAGTTTTAGTTTACTGTTTAACATTGAATAACAAAGAGAGTGTTGTAACGCTTGCTTAGATAATTTCCGGCTAAATCCTATTGCTTAGTATTCTTTGACACAAAACACTGGACAAGTCCCCCAAGTTGAAACACGGTTTGAACAGGAAAGATTATATTCCAAAATAGCAAGGAATAAGAAGCTGGAGGTGATAGCGAAAGCCAAGGCAAAGAAAAATACAACGCTAGTCTATTTATAGCCTTCACATGAGAAAGCTTCTAGAAGAAAATTCATGTGATCGGCTGGATTAGATTTAACCAATCAGCATGCAGCTAATAATACGAGAATTTTCTATCCTGTTCTCCAAGCTTCGATCAGGCGCCGATTGGATAAGAATTTAGCCAATCAGTGCGTAGCGACGTAGTCATGCTTTAATTCTATCTATGTCCCACTAACAGAGAGTATGAGATAACAGCAGTGAAATCAATTACTGACTATCTATCTACTCTACATAATAACTTCACATATGATGTATTCAAAGTCTGAAAGATTCGTTGTCCTTTGGATAACATACAGCCACATCTATGTGTTGTTAAGTCACTTTATTAGGATTCTAATTTAGACTTTTGATCGTGAATAGTTCAGGGTACTTATATGTTTGATCTGCCTGTAGAAATAGACTATGAAATGAACTGCATAATTCGTCGATAGAGAAAAGGTGAATCACCGAAAAAGAACTAAAATGAAGGAATGTAAGTGACAAGAAAAGGTGATGGATAACAGAATGTTAAGGAATAACATAGTCTGCAGTCAGAACATGTCATAGCAAAACAATTTCATCAATTTGTAGTAGTACAACAACTAATTTACAATTGATTGATCAGTGATTGGTGACCAGTGTCATGTAAGTCAAGTCCCTCTTAATCCTGATCGAATTCTATCGAGCAGGTTGCAATGTGGTTTCCAGTCCAGGATTTCTTATCGGTTACCTTCAACCACCACTGTTAGTAGGACAGAGATTGAATTAAAGCTTGTCCAATGCAGGATTGCATTTGGAGTTCGTTGATTGACTAAGCATGCGCCAATCAGAGCTGGTGGAGAGCTGAAGAGGGTTCTAGATTATTTGTGCAGAAATTAGTATGCTAAAGTTTCAGTTACTATGATTACTTCGCATTCAACTTAGGTTGTCGGAATATAATTTACTAACTATTCATGCCGTGTGTTGATTTTAGGGACTGCTTAAGCATTGAGCAGTGTCGAATAATACATAGTAATGATATGGTTAGGTAGTATAAGCGGAATCATTAACAACCACCAACTAATTTATCGCATCATTAGTGTTTCTACTGTCTAGTGAACATGTATCAGAAAACATACACCACATTTATTGTTTAAATTACAGCCAATGGCTTCACAGAATAAAACAATAACCTGATTACACTTTCTAACGCCACTGTAAATGATACAATATCACGAAGAAACCATCAAATACACAATCCGTTATGTACAACATACTTAACTGTATAAATAACCAAGGGAATTCTTGACTGTCAATAAAAATTTCGCTAGTTATCACTAATACAGTCCGGAAATTTCATAAGATTTCATTGTCCAACAAGGTGATAAATAGGATTTTTCAAAGATCAACTTTATGTGCACTGGTTATTTGAATCTACTCAATTGATGTTTGTAACTGACCAGTCTGTTTGAGCGGTCTGTGCAAATTGCCTTATAGACGTGTATTCGAGTCAGTAAATCTACTAAAACCAGAACGGAAAGTTTGGGTAAAACTACCAGAAAAATTAGGTGGTTCAGTTAATTAAAATATCACTTTACACTTTAAAGCATATTTATATTCTCGGAAGCTAAGACGCACAAATGAGAGTAATACATGAAGTAAGAATCAGTAATTTAACTTCAAACTAACTATTCACACGCCTGTGTAACAAATAAGATATCAATTTTAAGCTACTTAGCCACTATTAATTTATTCACTTAATTAAATGGTTATATCTAACTTGATAACTAATTAGAAATAAAGCACATTTACATTTTGTCAATCCTATATATACACAAATATTCATTCCACCACTAAAAAAATGAATCTTCAGGCACACTCACAAAATAATGAGATCAGCATGGTTAGATGAAAAATACGTTTAAACACACTAAAAGCTTTGTTTCGGTTCATTTTTTAAAAAGTTCTTGCGCTTTCAACGGAGCAATTCACAGAAAATATTTAAAATAAACCACATAATAAATATTACAAAAAAAACCAGTGAATGTTACCCACATTTGAGGTCACATAGATATAAAGTAATGGTTGAAATGTACCAATAGGTCGAATTGGTCTACCACTTGATAAAACTTTGACATTAGACTGTAACTGGTCAACACGAAATCTTGTGAAACATGCTTCCAATCGCACAGAATGGACCACTGAAAGTTTCGGATGTTTCCATACCACCTGCTGACTCGCTAAAGTCGATAAACAATGACTTTCGAAATAAGGTAGAAGATTTTCATCACCAGCACCTGAATTAAAGATAAGTATCTTAAAATTAAAATGTTTGTAGGCTAGAATTGATTTAAACGAGCAATAATGATGACGGATAACAAAATAACGGTATCTTTCCGAATAAAATTTAGGCAATACTTATGAAAATCTGATCTGATTATAGCTACTGTTTTTAAAGACTGGCCTGACCAACTTATGTTCACTGCAATACTTCTTGGGACATAATGGAAATAAGACTAGAAGGAGTAAGTTTCAGATCTGAGGGTGCAGTTGTACATTCGATTGTACCATGAAATGACAGTATCATGGTCTTCGTCACAGATAATAAGTAACTCCCGTGATGCTGCATTCAGATCCATGGAGGAGTGGGTTGCGAATGTTACCAGGACACAGAATGGGTTAGAGAATGTTCCATGCAGGATTATGTTGGAGCACATCGGTTGTCCCATTCTTTAGCTAATGCAAGCGGATAAATGAGGAACCCTCTAGGATCTTCTTGTGAAAGTCATAAATATGCCAGCAAGTGAATTCTTTAGGTCACTCCCCGAGTCTCTGACCTGGGGGTTTGACCGACAAGAAAGTGAAGCAACGTTAGGAGATTCAGTTACCAATGATAGATTTGTATGGCATTTGTCCCCTCAGAATCCTAAGGTTAATGTGCACCACTGGTTTGGAACCAGGGTCTTCTAACCCCCTAGTTGGGTTCGCCATACCCATCGACCAGCTCTAAGCGCCAGGCATTGGTTCTACGTCCTCTCAATTTGTTAGACAATTCCTGTGTTCAGAAGGTAGCGAGTAGGAGTTCCCTGACTGACGGTATATTTTTGGCTATAAGAGGGCATTTAGGGGAATTTAACTCACTTTAAATTTTGTTAGACCTGGTTCACATAAAATGGAGACTAGTAGAGAACCTAAAGTAGTTTTCCATTACATTCCAGATATACAGTATTATGCGAACTCGAAGTAGTATGAAATGACTCGCTTTTTATTTTACTTAACCTGCATTTCATACTTCACTTTATACTATTTCCTCTTTTGTATTTATCCACAATATTTCCATACTTCTTTTAGAACACTAGTGTCGAACTGTGTGCTGTAAAGAAAAGAAACCTAACAACATTTTTATCATACTCAATGACAAAAGTTCCGGCTACTGTACTAGTGTTATAGCATTTGTCTAGTGGTTGAAATAAATTTAACGCAATGCCGAAAATTTAATATTGGCTACATGCTGTACCAGAGAATTCGGTATACTTCGAATAACTTACATGAAATGACAGGTTTCGATATAAAATCCATTTATAATTTACTCGATTTCTTAGAAAAGATGGTTTATGATGATTTAATGAATGAACGAGACAGAATTGTAGTTTGATTTGATTGGAATGAGGAGTGTTGACAATCTGATCATGTCATCTGAAAATCCAAATAAAGTGGCTATAATTCCGCAATTCTTGGTCTTGTTTAGTCAAACATGTATTAGAATACAGAAAAAGGGTCGCAAATTACGTAGGAAAGATGTCACAATAATAAAAGCGACTGTGCAATGAAAACAGATAAAATGAATTGCAATGATATGGTTAACAAATTGGGCATAAATAATTCGTGCGAATGGGACATCTGTTAGCGGTGCCAACAAATAGCTTCTGTAATTAGAAAGACATTGAAGACTGTTACACTGCTAAATCAGACAGTTAGTAACAACGTAGAACTATGTATGTACAGTTCAAGTTGCCATAAAACATTTGCACAGAGATGCAATCGTCTATTCAGATCCCAGTGGTAGTAGAAGTACTAGCGGTAATCGCAGAGATTATGGTTCGAAGATATTGTTCAGGCAATATATTCCAATGAAATAAATTTTTGGGAAAGAGAGAAAGATAAAGGTGATGAGGAATTTAAAGGACTAGAATTTAAGAGAAGACTAAGAATGAATGCACCTGTGCTATTGCAAACGATTTTGAGCCATGTCAATCAGTCTCCAACTATCGGTTACTATTGTATCGCGGACCCCAACAGGTACTCCACACCTACTTACATGACTCAATCTATTGGCCAATGATTCATGGATTTGTGTCATGTTTTGGTTTGGCCATCCACAGCTTTTCCTTCAGCCTACACCTACACAAAACATCGCTCTTCGAGACAGTCGGTGGTCGGGCATACGTAACACATATCTCAACCACCTCAACTGATGGAGTTGAACTACCTCATCTATTGATCTTGCATACTTACTTAGTTCCCATTTCGTAACACCAGAATCGCTTACTCGATAGTCCCAGGATATGCGAGCAGTGCTTCAGAGACACCTGTGATAGAAAACCAGTAACCTACAAATATCCTCGATTCGTACTGGCCATGTTTCACAGCTGCAGAGTAGGACGGAGCGAACCGATGTGAGGTACAGGGATATCTCGCCTACATCATAAGTGACGCAAGCTGGCAAAAGCCAGTTGAACCTTTTGCATCCGTACTGAGATCTCGTCAGGCACCAGGCCATCAGCATTGATGAGACTTCCAAGATAAGTGAAGTGGTCAGCACGCTCAACCACTTCACCTCCCATCACTAGTTCATGTACAGACGCAAGCCAATCCTGAAGCAACAGTTTGCATTTCGACTGGGGAAAAAAACCGCATTCCAAACATGCTTGCGTTGTTGCTTCAGGTGGTCAGAAGGCTGAATTTTGTCAGCGTCTTCACCAAATAGATCTATGTCATCGGCATATTCAAAGTCAACAAGTGAATCTCTCTGTAAAAGCTAAACTCCAGAAAATCGAGACGAAGATTGTGTGTTTTCTAACAGCATGTCTATGAAAAAGTTAAGTAAGAACGGAGAAAGTGGACAACCCTGACGAACACCACTCGAGGTAATCAATGCCGATGACATTTCGTCATAAGCTCTGACTCGACCAGTAATACCAAAATGGATACCCTGTACAAGGGTTATATACTTATTCGGTACTCCATTCAATGACAAACTCCGCTATAAAATCTCACGATCTACATAGTCAAATGCCGCCTTAAGGTGGGGAAATACAACAATTGTGGTACGTATGAACGTGTGTCTATGTTCTAGGACCTGACGAAGATTGAATATTTGGTCTATAAATCCTCGTCCAGGTCGAAAACCAGCCTGCTTTTCTCGAGTCTGCTCTTCACAAGCTCTAGTTAGGCGTCGAAGTATTATCGAGGCTAACATTTTCAACACTATATTAGTTAGACTGATTTCTCTGTGATTGTCTCAAGAGGACTTTTGTCTTATAGATTGAGATCAGTCAGATGGCATTAAGCTCAGTTCCCAAATTCTACCTAAGATCTCAGTGAATCTAACTGCGAAAGCTGGACCACTAAGCATAAAAACCTCTGGGGTAAGCCTGTCAAGCCCTCTAGCCCTCCTCTGCTTCAAACTTCCTATAGCTTTTTCAACTTCATAAAGAGTCGGGGGACTTACATAGATTTGCCGTTCAGGATGACTAGAGATCGTGGGTAACCGAAGTGTGGCTGAAGGCCACTTGAACTGATCCCTAAAGTGTTCTACCCATTGATCCAATCTCCTGGCTTGAGAATGAATGATACGGTCATCCTTTTCTGAGATAGTTTCGCTAACAAATAGATTGCTCGTACCAGTTTCCTTGATAAATCTGAATAGTTGTCTACTGTTACCTGTCGCCACTGCCTTTTCCATGTGTCTTGCTATAGCTACCCACCACTGTATGCGATCATTGCGTAGGCTTTTTATCAGCCTGCGCTGAAGCTGACTCCACTTTTTGTTACGTTCAGAACCAGATGGGATGAGTTTCCGAGAATCTATCACTTCGATAGATGCTACTGGGATATATTGTTTTTCCCTAACTTTATGCTTCACTTTACCAGTAGATATCAATTATGTTTCCACAGCTTTTTGAATAGTTTCCCAAGCTGCCTCGGTTCAGCCATCACTTACATGGCTGCCTAGCTGTTTTCCTAGTTGTTCCTGAAATATATTCTTAGCTTTATTATCATTAAGTAGAACCCCAAAATGTTTCCTTACGATGTCTTCCCCACGTCCGGTAAAACGCGAACGAATACATGATCGTACTAGAGCATGATTTGAATCCAAATATGTGCTCCAGAACGAGCAACTGTCTTCTATCGAGCATCTCAATCGGTGGCTGATAGCAATGTGATGTATTTACACTGGCAGGGATGGTGCATTTGTTTCTAGATAAATATTAGCCACGAGTATTCCATAAAACTTAGTCGAACTCTGAATTATTTGAAAATCCAAGATTTATTTGTTAGAGATTTACATTTTGGGATTTTTGTGTTGCTGGCAAATTTAATGTAGGGTGAAGGCCATTAAAATCTCCCTTTCTATCGGGTATTTGGATTTCACTGTGTCTTGAGACTTTCAATAACAATGTGCATTTCTAAAATCAGTACAAGCATGGACACAGGCTGACAGTATAAGTTACTCAGAATGAGGTTTGTGAACCTGAATTGCTATAAATTTGTTGAGAATCGGAGTGCAGCAAATGTAGCACGCAGTTGTAGAAGATTAGGCAATCCATAACTAGATAAGTATGTATATGAGGCCGACCGACACTAATATATGAGGATCAAGTAATTATGTTTTGTGAATATGTATGAAAAAGATGATCACTAGAAATTTTGGTGGCTGGACAAAACATTAATTTCACTGATCTAGGTAGCATTCATTCATGACCATCAGAGCAGTGAATACTTAATTAGTCTGCAAATAATTACCTCATTTTTTGATGTTAGCTTGCCAAAATGTTCATTCTGTATTATCACAAATAAAGATTGTTTTTGTCTACCGACTCCTATTATTGGATTATCCAAGTGTGAGTACAGGGACAGATAGATTGTGTCAAGTGATAGGCCATTTTTTCATCTAAGAGGCTGAATGTAACGCATAAATAAATATTGAGAACAGGGGAAAGTTGAACTCTGCTCAACTACAATATAAAGTCATAAAACTTCCTAGCATGGTGTATTGTAATTATTCAATTAGGCGTTATTTGTTTTTGTTGAAGTGCTTAGACCTAGTAAATTGAGTGAACACACGAAAAAATTATCAATTAGAAGATGGACTAATTTAGTAACTAATGTTTGGTTTGAGAGTTACCTTAGTAGTGTATATGACGAGTTGTGAAGTGTTTACTACAACTCTGTACCCAAACAAAACAAAGGATAATAGCAGCTGAAAGTACATGTCAGTTTAAAATTGGTACTTGACCAAATTAACAAGTTCTTTGTGTGGCATACGGGATTCATGAGAGACAAGCCTGACGATAAGTAAGAAGAGACAATAGGATCTGCCCAAATCCATTTTAAGGAACACTTATAATGAATTTAAATCTACCTTGACGACGAAATTTATGCAGGAATTCCACAAGCAACTCTGGACATTTTCGCAGTCATAAGTACCTCTATAGGATACAGAGAATCGTAATATAACATATTCAACCAATGATATTTTTAGTCTTAAAATGGTCCCTGTAGCATTATACACATAGGCTATTCAACCACACAAACCATGATATTTAGGCTAGATATCTGATGTCTTTAGATTATGACAAAACGGGCTCAAACTCACGGTAATAACTACAGTATACTTACGCAATTTGTGACATTTTGAAGGTAGTTAGGCTGCTGAGGGGGAGCGTAAACAACAGTGTGGTCAAGAAAGCTAGAAATGAGAACTCGGTAAAATTGAACAGAGATTCAGCTTGCTCGAAGATAAACCGGCATTTAACAATACAACAGATTTCATTGACAAAAGCATTAGGTATTAACACAACTCTTACGGGGAAATTGTAGGTCAAACTTTTGTTCAATATCCAACATCAAATATCTTCATGAGCTAGCAAAAACCAGTTGTTTTCTTTGCGCTCGATTCTTGTTCTTTCGGTACAGTTCCAGGTGTTTGATATTTTCCAATGGTTGGTGGTCTAGCCACTGGACTACTTAATTCAAGTCAGTTGTCAGTGGTTTGTGAGTTTGTATGTCCCGTGACTTGGATGAAAACGTTTATTTCGGTAACGTAGGGTTTCTGGATACCAACAGCTGCCACCTTACCAGATCGGAGATCAGTTAGTGGCAATGTGTAGAATAATAGGGCGAAAATTCTAATATTAATAAAAAGATTTCAGAACTACGCAAATAAATAGATAATTTAATCTATTATTAAGTATTGAAGATTGTGTGTGGCGACAAAAGTGTAAGAGAAATGGTTTACACTTTCGATACATAGCGGTGTCGTGCGAAAGGGAGGCTGGTCGGCTTATAAGCGATTGTAGGGCGGAAGGAGCGACAGACAGGAAGCTACCAATGAAGCTCGAGTTGTCACCGAAAGTCTTCTACGTTGAGTTGCAGATTGGGCGATGGTGTCAGGAACGACTAGAACGACTAGAACGACTAAGTTCGAAACTATACGTATGACAGACATTCGGAACAAGAACATCTACGGAGTGCGTTGACAAGAGCGTGGGTGGTCAGGTCAGCTTTCGCCAAGGTTGACTGAAGTCGACGGAACCAACAGGGCAATGGTCGTAGACATGGGCTCCAGATACAAAATGAAAGAAAAAGAGAAAGGTGTAGAATACACGTAGTATAAGGATGGTGTCCTATCGCGTATCCATTGTTGCCTGTGTGGTTATTCGAGAAAACGTACAGGTAGGCGTACGCGGCGACTGGAACCCGAGACGATAGTCTCGTGCGTACCTCGTGAGCCATCAATCTCATCCGAAGTCAATGGCGGCGTGGTCTGCTGATCTGGACATAAGACCGGAGTCTCATCCGTAGACAGTGCGGATGACGCGTGCTGTTGACTGGGACGTGAGAATTAGGTCTCTGATTTGTCTAGCGTGGGATCCGAAGTAGCTATAAGGATCCCGCTGGTAGCTTTGGTAGGTCTGGCATGTGGTCTCAGATTAGAAAGTAGGGCATTGTCATCGACGTGTGCTGGCTTGAGACGATCATTGCTGAGTACCTCAATGCGGCCATGTCGAGCAACCTTGAATGTCTCTTCATGACGAGAAATCACGTGAAAAGGTCTTTCGTAAGGCTGTTGCAGAAGTTTGCGTACCGAATTGACTCGGATGAAAACATGTGAGCAGGTATATAACTCTCGAGGGAGAGCGACCTATCGATGTTGTACTCGAGTTGACACCGAAGGAAGTGCTCGAATAGATTCAGACAATCGTCGAATGTAGTCTCATTTATTGCAGTTATCACTACTCCGTAGTGTGAAAAATTCTCCAGGCAGACGCAACATCGTGCTTTATACCAACTTTGAGGCGGATCATTGAATATTTGCATTTAAGCTCATTCTGAGAAGTAAGAGAACGAGAGGTTTTCGTATGCTCGAAAGGCACTCTTAAGTTGGTGATGAGACCTCTCAACTAAGCCCTTCGAAGCTGGGTGGTAGGTTGTAGTGCGTATGCGCTTTGATCCAAGTAGCCGGGTTGGTGAAGAGAATAATTCGGACTCGAACTGTTGTCCTCGGTCGGTTGTGACAGTCGAGGGACAACCGTAATGCGCTATTCATCGTTCTACAAAGCGGTGAGCAACTGTTTCCACCGTTATAGAAGTGATGAGAATAGTGTTGAGCCATCTTGTGAAACGATCGATGCAAGTGAATATGTGATTATACCCATGGGACGGTTGCAATAGTCTGGCAATGTCAATGTGAACGTGATCGAAGCGAGCATCAGGTCTAGCAAATGTTCCAATGGGGCTGCTACATGCCTGTGCACTTTCGATCGTTGACATTGTAAGCATTGCTTTACCCACATACGTGTTACGTCCAATTTTTTGCTCCTTGCTCCTTAGAAATAC